GGTGCTCTGCAGTGTGTGCTGCTCTGCAGCGTGTGCTGCTCTGCAGCGTGTGCTGCTCTGCAGCGTGTGGTGCTCTGCAGTGTGTGGTGCTCTGCAGCGTGTGCTGCTCTGCAGCGTGTGCTGCTCTGCAGCGTGTGGTGCTCTGCAGTGTGTGCTGCTCTGCAGCGTGTGCTGCTCTGCAGCGTGTGGTGCTCTGCAGCGTGTGCTGCTCTGCAGCGTGTGCTGCTCTGCAGTGTGTGGTGCTCTGCAGCGTGTGCTGCTCTGCAGTGTGTGCTGCTCTGCAGTGTGTGCTGCTCTGCAGTGTGTGGTGCTCTGCAGTGTGTGCTGCTCTGCAGTGTGTGGTGCTCTGCAGTGTGTGGTGCTCTGCAGCGTGTGCTGCTCTGCAGTGTGTGCTGCTCTGCAGTGTGTGCTGCTCTGCAGTGTGTGCTGCTCTGCAGTGTGTGCTGCTCTGCAGCGTGTGGTGCTCTGCAGCGTGTGGTGCTCTGCAGTGTGTGCTGCTCTGCAGTGTGTGCTGCTCTGCAGCGTGTGCTGCTCTGCAGCGTGTGGTGCTCTGCAGTGTGTGCTGCTCTGCAGTGTGTGCTGCTCTGCAGTGTGTGGTGCTCTGCAGCGTGTGCTGCTCTGCAGCGTGTGCTGCTCTGCAGTGTGTGCTGCTCTGCAGCGTGTGCTGCTCTGCAGCGTGTGCTGCTCTGCAGTGTGTGGTGCTCTGCAGCGTGTGCTGCTCTGCAGCGTGTGCTGCTCTGCAGCGTGTGGTGCTCTGCAGCGTGTGGTGCTCTGCAGCGTGTGCTGCTCTGCAGTGTGTGGTGCTCTGCAGTGTGTGCTGCTCTGCAGTGTGTGCTGCTCTGCAGTGTGTGCTGCTCTGCAGTGTGTGGTGCTCTGCAGCGTGTGCTGCTCTGCAGCGTGTGGTGCTCTGCAGCGTGTGGTGCTCTGCAGTGTGTGCTGCTCTGCAGTGTGTGGTGCTCTGCAGCGTGTGCTGCTCTGCAGTGTGTGGTGCTCTGCAGCGTGTGCTGCTCTGCAGTGTGTGCTGCTCTGCAGTGTGTGGTGCTCTGCAGTGTGTGGTGCTCTGCAGCGTGTGCTGCTCTGCAGCGTGTGCTGCTCTGCAGTGTGTGGTGCTCTGCAGCGTGTGCTGCTCTGCAGCGTGTGCTGCTCTGCAGTGTGTGCTGCTCTGCAGTGTGTGCTGCTCTGCAGCGTGTGGTGCTCTGCAGCGTGTGCTGCTCTGCAGTGTGTGGTGCTCTGCAGTGTGTGGTGCTCTGCAGCGTGTGCTGCTCTGCAGCGTGTGCTGCTCTGCAGTGTGTGGTGCTCTGCAGTGTGTGCTGCTCTGCAGCGTGTGCTGCTCTGCAGCGTGTGGTGCTCTGCAGCGTGTGGTGCTCTGCAGCGTGTGCTGCTCTGCAGTGTGTGGTGCTCTGCAGTGTGTGCTGCTCTGCAGCGTGTGCTGCTCTGCAGCGTGTGCTGCTCTGCAGTGTGTGGTGCTCTGCAGCGTGTGCTGCTCTGCAGTGTGTGGTGCTCTGCAGTGTGTGGTGCTCTGCAGCGTGTGCTGCTCTGCAGCGTGTGGTGCTCTGCAGTGTGTGCTGCTCTGCAGCGTGTGCTGCTCTGCAGCGTGTGGTGCTCTGCAGCGTGTGGTGCTCTGCAGCGTGTGGTGCTCTGCAGTGTGTGCTGCTCTGCAGCGTGTGGTGCTCTGCAGCGTGTGCTGCTCTGCAGTGTGTGCTGCTCTGCAGTGTGTGGTGCTCTGCAGCGTGTGCTGCTCTGCAGCGTGTGGTGCTCTGCAGTGTGTGCTGCTCTGCAGTGTGTGGTGCTCTGCAGCGTGTGCTGCTCTGCAGTGTGTGCTGCTCTGCAGTGTGTGCTGCTCTGCAGTGTGTGGTGCTCTGCAGTGTGTGGTGCTCTGCAGCGTGTGGTGCTCTGCAGTGTGTGCTGCTCTGCAGCGTGTGGTGCTCTGCAGTGTGTGGTGCTCTGCAGTGTGTGCTGCTCTGCAGCGTGTGGTGCTCTGCAGTGTGTGGTGCTCTGCAGCGTGTGGTGCTCTGCAGCGTGTGGTGCTCTGCAGTGTGGTGCTCTGCAGTGTGTGGTGCTCTGCAGTGTGTGCTGCTTCTGCAGTGTGTGCTGCTCTGCAGCGTGTGGTGCTCTGCAGTGTGTGGTGCTCTGCAGTGTGTGGTGCTCTGCAGTGTGTGGTGCTCTGCAGCGTGTGCTGCTCTGCAGCGTGTGGTGCTCTGCAGTGTGTGGTGCTCTGCAGTGTGTGCTGCTCTGCAGCGTGTGGTGCTCTGCAGCGTGTGCTGCTCTGCAGTGTGTGCTGCTCTGCAGCGTGTGGTGCTCTGCAGTGTGTGGTGCTCTGCAGTGTGTGCTGCTCTGCAGTGTGTGGTGCTCTGCAGCGTGTGCTGCTCTGCAGTGTGTGCTGCTCTGCAGCGTGTGGTGCTCTGCAGTGTGTGGTGCTCTGCAGCGTGTGCTGCTCTGCAGTGTGTGCTGCTCTGCAGTGTGTGCTGCTCTGCAGCGTGTGGTGCTCTGCAGTGTGTGGTGCTCTGCAGTGTGTGCTGCTCTGCAGTGTGTGCTGCTCTGCAGTGTGTGCTGCTCTGCAGCATGTGGTGCTCTGCAGTGTGTGCTGCTCTGCAGTGTGTGCTGCTCTGCAGCGTGTGCTGCTCTGCAGTGTGTGGTGCTCTGCAGTGTGTGGTGCTCTGCAGCGTGTGGTGCTCTGCAGTGTGTGCTGCTCTGCAGTGTGTGGTGCTCTGCAGTGTGTGGTGCTCTGCAGTGTGTGCTGCTCTGCAGTGTGTGGTGCTCTGCAGCGTGTGGTGCTCTGCAGCGTGTGCTGCTCTGCAGCGTGTGCTGCTCTGCAGTGTGTGGTGCTCTGCAGCGTGTGGTGCTCTGCAGTGTGTGGTGCTCTGCAGCGTGTGCTGCTCTGCAGCGTGTGCTGCTCTGCAGTGTGTGGTGCTCTGCAGCGTGTGGTGCTCTGCAGTGTGTGCTGCTCTGCAGTGTGTGCTGCTCTGCAGTGTGTGCTGCTCTGCAGCGTGTGCTGCTCTGCAGTGTGTGCTGCTCTGCAGCGTGTGGTGCTCTGCAGCGTGTGGTGCTCTGCAGCGTGTGGTGCTCTGCAGTGTGTGCTGCTCTGCAGCGTGTGGTGCTCTGCAGCGTGTGCTGCTCTGCAGCGTGTGGTGCTCTGCAGCGTGTGGTGCTCTGCAGTGTGTGGTGCTCTGCAGTGTGTGCTGCTCTGCAGCGTGTGGTGCTCTGCAGCGTGTGCTGCTCTGCAGTGTGTGGTGCTCTGCAGTGTGTGGTGCTCTGCAGCGTGTGGTGCTCTGCAGTGTGTGCTGCTCTGCAGCGTGTGCTGCTCTGCAGTGTGTGTTGCTCTGCAGCGTGTGGTGCTCTGCAGCGTGTGGTGCTCTGCAGCGTGTGGTGCTCTGCAGCGTGTGGTGCTCTGCAGCGTGTGCTGCTCTGCAGCGTGTGGTGCTCTGCAGCGTGTGCTGCTCTGCAGTGTGTGGTGCTCTGCAGTGTGTGCTGCTCTGCAGCGTGTGGTGCTCTGCAGCGTGTGCTGCTCTGCAGCGTGTGGTGCTCTGCAGCGTGTGGTGCTCTGCAGTGTGTGGTGCTCTGCAGTGTGTGCTGCTCTGCAGCGTGTGGTGCTCTGCAGCGTGTGCTGCTCTGCAGCGTGTGCTGCTCTGCAGCGTGTGGTGCTCTGCAGCGTGTGGTGCTCTGCAGTGTGTGCTGCTCTGCAGCGTGTGCTGCTCTGCAGCGTGTGGTGCTCTGCAGTGTGTGGTGCTCTGCAGTGTGTGTTGCTCTGCAGCGTGTGGTGCTCTGCAGCGTGTGCTGCTCTGCAGCGTGTGGTGCTCTGCAGTGTGTGGTGCTCTGCAGCGTGTGGTGCTCTGCAGCGTGTGGTGCTCTGCAGCGTGTGGTGCTCTGCAGCGTGTGCTGCTCTGCAGCGTGTGCTGCTCTGCAGCGTGTGGTGCTCTGCAGCGTGTGCTGCTCTGCAGTGTGTGGTGCTCTGCAGTGTGTGCTGCTCTGCAGCGTGTGGTGCTCTGCAGCGTGTGCTGCTCTGCAGCGTGTGGTGCTCTGCAGCGTGTGGTGCTCTGCAGCGTGTGCTGCTCTGCAGCGTGTGCTGCTCTGCAGCGTGTGGTGCTCTGCAGCGTGTGGTGCTCTGCAGCGTGTGCTGCTCTGCAGCGTGTGGTGCTCTGCAGCGTGTGGTGCTCTGCAGCGTGTGCTGCTCTGCAGCGTGTGCTGCTCTGCAGCGTGTGGTGCTCTGCAGCGTGTGGTGCTCTGCAGCGTGTGGTGCTCTGCAGTGTGTGGTGCTCTGCAGTGTGTGTTGCTCTGCAGTGTGTGTTGCTCTGCAGTGTGTGGTGCTCTGCAGCGTGTGCTGCTCTGCAGCGTGTGGTGCTCTGCAGCGTGTGCTGCTCTGCAGCGTGTGGTGCTCTGCAGCGTGTGGTGCTCTGCAGCGTGTGCTGCTCTGCAGTGTGTGGTGCTCTGCAGTGTGTGCTGCTCTGCAGCGTGTGGTGCTCTGCAGCGTGTGCTGCTCTGCAGTGTGTGGTGCTCTGCAGCGTGTGCTGCTCTGCAGCGTGTGCTGCTCTGCAGTGTGTGGTGCTCTGCAGCGTGTGCTGCTCTGCAGTGTGTGGTGCTCTGCAGCGTGTGCTGCTCTGCAGTGTGTGGTGCTCTGCAGCGTGTGGTGCTCTGCAGCGTGTGCTGCTCTGCAGCGTGTGGTGCTCTGCAGCGTGTGGTGCTCTGCAGTGTGTGGTGCTCTGCAGCGTGTGGTGCTCTGCAGCGTGTGCTGCTCTGCAGCGTGTGGTGCTCTGCAGTGTGTGGTGCTCTGCAGCGTGTGCTGCTCTGCAGTGTGTGGTGCTCTGCAGTGTGTGCTGCTCTGCAGCGTGTGCTGCTCTGCAGCGTGTGGTGCTCTGCAGCGTGTGGTGCTCTGCAGCGTGTGCTGCTCTGCAGTGTGTGGTGCTCTGCAGTGTGTGGTGCTCTGCAGCGTGTGGTGCTCTGCAGCGTGTGCTGCTCTGCAGTGTGTGGTGCTGCGGGCCACACCGTGCCGCGTCAGCGCTCACCCTGGGCTTGAAAGCGACGAGTTTGAGAATCATCTCGGCAGTGAAGAGCCCGGTGAAGAGCATGTTAAACGCGTCCATCGCCTCCCGAAACGACTTTGACTGCCCGTAGTGCTGCAGCACAGCCACCCGCACAGTCAGCACTGATAGTGGTGGTGGTGACGGTGGTGGCGGTGGTGACGGTGGTATTGATGGCTGTGATAGTGGTGGTGGGGTGACAGTGATGGTGGTGATAGTGATGGTGGTCATAGTGGTGGTGACGCTGATGGTGATGGTGGTCGTGACGGCCAGTGGTGGATTTGGTAGCGACAGTGCTGACCTGCATGGCGAGGCACAGCGTGTTGAGCATGATGAGTCCAAACATGAGGTACTCGAAGGCGGTAGAGTTCACCACGTACCAGACACGGTACTGGTATGGGTTCTTGGGGATGTAGCGCCTGAGAGGGCGAGCCTTCAGCGCGTACTCCACACACTGCCTCTGTGGGTAGGTGAGTGGGTAGGTGAGTGGGTAGGTGAGTGGGTAGGTGAGTGGGTAGGTGAGTGGGTAGGTGAGTGGGTAGGTGAGTGGGTAGGTGAGTGGGTAGGTGAGTGGGTAGGTGAGTGGGTAGGTGAGTGGGTAGGTGAGTGGGTAGGTGAGTGGGTAGGTGAGTGGGTAGGTGAGTGGGTAGGTGAGTGGGTAGGTAGATGTATAGGTGTTAAAAAGGTAAAAAGGTATCAACCCATCCATCTATTCACTCACTCACTCACCCACCCACTAATTCACTCACCCCCCCACCCACTAATTCACTCACCCACCCACCCACTAATTCACTCACCCACCCACCCACTAATTCACTCACCCACCCACCCACTAATTCACTCACCCACCCACCCACTAATTCACTCACCCACCCACCCACTAATTCACTCACCCACCCACCCACTAATTCACTCACCCACTTAACCCTCCTACCAACCCACCCACTCACGGACCTGGTTCTTGTCGAGTTCACAGTTCTTGTACTCCTGTTCTCCTTGCTCCTGGAATGTGACGATGACGAAACCAACGAAGATGTTCATCATGAAGAAGGCGATGATAATGATGTAGATGATGAAGAAGATCGAGATTTCGACGCGGTAGTTGTAGATGGGTCCCACGTCCTCGGCGTGAGAGTCGATCGCGCGGTGCAGCAGCCTGGGAGACGCACGCATTCACTGTGAGCACAGACTCGCTCGCTCGCGTCGTGCAGCCACGCGGTGCAGTTGTGGTGGAGTGGGGTGTGGTGTGGTTGTGTAGTGTGATGTGGTGTAGTGGGGTGTGGTTGTAGTGGAATGAGGTGCAGTTGTTGTGGAGTGTGGTTGTGGTCTAGTGGGGTTTAGTGTAGTTGTGTGGTGGGTGCGGTGTGGTTGTATTGTGGGGTGAGGTTGTGTTGTGTGGTGACCGTGTGGTTGTGTAGAGGGGTGTGATTGTGTGGTGCGGTGTGAATGTGAAGAGGGGTGCGGTGCGGTTGTGTAGTGCGTTGTGGCTGTGTAGTGGGGTGAGGTTGGTTGTGCGGTGACGGTGTGGTTGTGTGGTTGTGCGGTGTGGTGCGGTGTGGTTGTGTGGTGGGGTGCGGTGTGGTTGTGTGGTTGTGTGGTTGTGTGGTGGGGTGCGGTGTGGTTGTGTGGTGGGGTGCGGTGTGGTTGTGTGGTTGTGTAGTGGGGTGCGGTGTGGTTGTGTGGTGGGGTGCGGTGTGATGCGGTGTGGTTGTGTGGTGGGGTGCGGTGTGGTGCGGTGTGGTTGTGCGGTGCGGTGTGGTTGTGTGGTGGGGTGCGGTGTGGTGCGGTGTGGTTGTGTGGTGGGGTGCGGTGTGGTGCGGTGTGGTTGTGTGGTGGGGTGCGGTGTGGTTGTGTGGTGGGGTGCGGTGTGGTGCGGTGTGGTTGTGTGGTGGGGTGCGGTGTGGTGCGGTGTGGTTGTGCGGTGTGGTGCGGTGTGGTTGTGTGGTGGGGTGCGGTGTGGTGCGGTGTGGTTGTGTAGTGGGGTGCGGTGTGGTTGTGTGGTGGGGTGCGGTGTGGTGCGGTGTGGTTGTGTGGTGGGGTGCGGTGTGGTGCGGTGTGGTTGTGCGGTGTGGTGCGGTGTGGTTGTGTGGTGGGGTGCGGTGTGGTGCGGTGTGGTTGTGTGGTGGGGTGCGGTGTGGTGCGGTGTGGTTGTGTGGTGGGGTGCGGTGTGGTTGTGTGGTGGGGTGCGGTGTGGTTGTGTGGTGGGGTGCGGTGTGGTTGTGCGGTGTGGTGCGGTGTGGTTGTGTGGTGGGGTGCGGTGTGGTTGTGTGGTGGGGTGCGGTGTGGTGCGGTGTGGTTGTGTGGTGGGGTGCGGTGTGGTGCGGTGTGGTTGTGTGGTGGGGTGCGGTGTGGTGCGGTGTGGTTGTGTGGTGGGGTGCGGTGTGGTGCGGTGTGGCTGTGTGGTGGGGTGCGGTGTGGTGCGGTGTGGTGCGGTGTGGCTGTGTAGTGTGGTGGAGTGTGGTTGTGTTGTGGGGTGTGGTGAGGTTGGTTGTGTGTTGACGGTGATCCTCTTTCCACTCACGTGGGCCAGCCCTCAAAGGTGGACACCGTGAAGAGGGTGAGCATGCCCGAGAGCACGTCGTCAAAGTTGAACTCGTTGTTCTGCCACACACGCCGCTTCGTGAGCGGCTGGTTCACGTCGCCGTCCTTGTACACGATGAAGTGGCCCCTGGGGAACGGCGGCACGGCCACTAGAGTCACGCTGCGAATGCGCTGCAGGGCTTGGGTTGGATTGAGTTTGGTTCCGATCCCATCAGCGATGCTGCAGATCTCATCCCAATTCACCAACACTAGACTAGAGTTCGTGCGTAACATTAACAGATGTACGCAATATATTACAAATGATAACACTATATTACCAATAGCGTGTGTGCACGGTGTGTATGAGTGTCAGTGTAGTGTGTGATAATGTGGTGAGCAAAAGTGTGGTGAGTGTGTGTCACTGCGTGCAGCAGTAGTGTAGCGGTTAGCGCACTGCACTACAAAACCAGGCGACCTGGGTTGGATTCCTGCTCACGGTCAACACCAGTGACGAACATTTGAATTGGTCCTGGGCATCCCCGAGGTCTACTCAGCCTCAAACGAGTACCTGGTGCAGTGTGTAAACATCGCTACTAGGAAGACAAGGGTGGCGTGATGCTGGCCACCAACTCCCTCGTGTGCTGTGCTGGCCTTCATAGGTGCTCGCGAACAACTTTCCCCAAAAGTCTGTTGAGGCTATATGGGGGATCTTTGCCTTTGTTGTGTTCGGTGGAAAGTGTGTAAGTGGAGTGTGTGGGGAATTCGCTGCGTCAGTTCTGCGTGCAGTGTGGCGAGGGTGGTGAGCAATGCATGGGGCGCTGCGTGGTGACGTGCAACGCACTTGCAGTCGGCCGGCGTGTGCTTTGCTTCGTCCGTGCAGCTGTAGAAGGTGCCCTGGAAGCACAGAGGACGGAGGCGTCTAAGCACTGCACGAGTCACCATTGCACGCAGCCGGTGATCAGAATCAGAATCTGTATTTCGACTGAAGGAGGAATCCGATGAGCTATGAAGGTTGTTTTTTACAGATGTCCAGTAGGGGCAGGTTACAGCCAAGTTACAACAAACAAATATCAATAGGCGTGAAAAATGGATAAAAGGTGAGCAAGTTGCTATAGACATACACACATTATATAAACAAACATTCCACAAGTACATACATTCCTGCCGATTTTTCAACACTAAATGCAAGCTTGGGCAAGGCAGAAAAATAACAAAATAAACAGTCCCAGACCACACCAAGACAACACAAAGTCCCTCAATACAATTGCACATTCAAATTGAACTATCGAAGCACGGCTATGGATCAAAGTGACAGACTACATTTGCATATGTCGTCGTATCCAGCACCAATCTTCTGCTTCATGTCGCTGTAACAGAATAAGAGGCAAGGCATCGCTAAACCGCCCTTCACCGCCGAGCTATGGATGTTCACCCAGGTTATGTTCATTTCTGCTTTCCATACTCGGCGCATTGGGATCGACGGGCACAATGCGCCGCTTGACAAATGAAAATCGTCCCGTAAATTCTCGGGACGATGGCGCCGCCTCGTGGCTCTTGACCCGAAGTGCCGCGGGTTTGGTTTGCGCGCCACACCCGTGCGACTGCTCCCACCTCGTGGTCACATCGGGGATAGAAAACACTGCCGAAGCAACAACCTGGGTCATGCCCCCCACATTCACTCTGAATCACCCCCACAAAAATCAAACCAAAAGCAGCATATTGCTTGGTGATGCACAGGTGAAAAGCGTGCGGCCTGTGGTAGGGTGAAAGGATCTCCATGTGCTATGAGGACAAGATATTGCCCGGCTCGTCACCTCATAGACGTATATATCTACCTTTCAAGGCCACAGTGTTGTTCAACAAATGTGCTGACTATTGTTATTGTTTGCGCTTGTGCGCCGCTCCCAACGCAAAAGCATCACCAAATAATTTGTCTAATTCACGAGTAGTTTTGCGAAAGCAACTTCCACGAGCCGTCCTCTAACACGACGCCTCTCACGGCATCGCTGCTGTAGCACAAGTAAAAATGTCATGGGAAATAAAATAACGCCGAAGTTATACGCGCGTTATCAGAGCACCGCACCTTGAACAGCTGAACACCCACGCAGGCGAAGATGAACTGCAGCAGCGTCGTGACGATCATGATGTTGCCGATGGTGCGGATCGCGACGAACACGCACTGCACCACGTGCTGCGGAGACACGGGGCGAGAGTCAACGGCGCTGGGGCGGCGTGCGCCAAAGCAATATGTGGTCAGCAGCATCACACACACAGGTGTGTGTGTGTTGCTGCTACAGGTGTGTGTGTAGCAGCATCACACACACACAGGTGTGATGCTGCTACAGCTGTGTGTGTGTGATGCTGTGTGTGTGTGTGATGCTGTGTGTGTGGTCAGCAGCATCACACGTGGCTGTTGCGTACAACAATGCCATCGAAGCTGCCATGGAACAGCGGCGTTACTCTTGTGGCTGTGTCACTCTTCTGGCTGTGTCACTCCTCTGGCTGTGTCACTCTTCTGGCTGTGTCACTCTTCTGGCTGTGTCACTATTCTGGCTGTGTCACTCCTCTGGCTGTGACACTCCTCTGGCTGTGTCACTCCTCTGGCTGTATCACCCCTGTGGCTGTGTCACTCCTCTGGCTGTGTCGCTCCTCTGGCTGTGTCACTCTTCTGGCTGTGTCACTCCTCTGGCTGTGTCACTCTTCTGGCTGTGTCACTCTTCTGGCTGTGTCACTCCTCTGGCTGTGTCACTCCTCTGGCTGTGTCACTCCTCTGGCTGTGTCACTCTTCTGGCTCAGGAAGCATCAGAGATGCTTCGTTTTCTTTTCCGTATCAAAACCTCATTCACGTCAAACAATTATCGCTGCTGCCGCTGCACGGAGAACAAACTCGGCCGATGTTGAAATCCTGCTGCTGCCGTATCTGCAGATGTTCTCGCTAACCGTCGGTCAGTCATCTCCTTGTTGCTGTTCTTGTGAAATTCTTCCATCTGATTCCTCCACTCACATTGAGGACTCGATCTACCAGATTGAGTGTGTTGTTTCATCCACACTGTGATCAACCACCATACTGCAGGTCACAAGAACTCACTCATCCACCATAACCACCTCTGCCAGCAGCCACTCAGCCCGCTATAGATGTGGGGGAATTCAACGGCCACCACACACAGTGGGGCTACTCAAAACATCGTGAAGCCGCAGCGAGACTTTGGCACAAGACACCTTCCGTATGTACGACCCTAAAGAGTTGGGCACGTTTCAAGCAGCCTGTTGGAACGAGGAGCACAACCCAGACTCATGCTTTGTCGAAAAGGACGCGAACGGACAGCGTGAACTGCTTCACGAACAATTCGAGGCAATTTTCCAAAAAGCCAACACAGACCTGCAGTTGCTCAAATTTAACTTCTGATACCGGTCATCACTGCTGTGTGAACAGTGGCACAAAGCAGATGTCCAGAATAAACAACTCATTGAAGACCCAAACATCGCACCGCCTGGCATGGACATTTCTCATTGAAGGAATCAGCTGCATAGAAACATCGACAGGCCGTTGTGCACATATCCTTCATAGATGCAAACTTAGAGACACAGCGACAGCAGTGTGGTTGTGGCCAGGGGCGGTTTCTTCATTAGGGCGATTGGGCGACGCACCACCAATGTCATTTAACCACAGAGTCACGCTAGTCGTCACTGTGCCTCTGGATATAGTCCAATCAGCGTCATGTCACGTTCTGTGGAGTACCGCCTCTTTTTGGGCGATTTCACTCCGGCTGAGAATCGCCCCGAGTGGCCCCATAGACTTACATTCAAAGATGTTTTTTTTCGAACGGGGGGCGCTGCAATGAATTATCTATGGCTTCCGGGAGGGCTCGCCCTAACGTGCTTACGTCATCATACGTAAGCACGTTTCATCCAACAATATAATTTGTCGCCACCTAGTGGAATCTTTAATAAAACAAAGTTGAGTGGATTGTATTAATAGTGAGAATAGAAACAAACAAGATGTATTGTAAGAGTCACTTTATTTTTCATTAATATTAAAGAAGTGAAGTTGCCTTTACATGCTTAAGCTGTTAATTTATCCATTGCATGGGTGGACCTTATCCTTATCAATCATCCAGACATTTGCACCCCCTGAAAGATTTTGCAGGAGCCGCCACTGGTTGTGGCCATACAACCCAAACCATGGACCATAAAAGTAAACCATTATAGTCTGTTCTCATTCAGTGGAAGAATAGGAAATATTAACAAACTCACTCCTGAAGGCCTCTCATGGCAAGCAGACCTGGACATTGCTAGATAGCTCCTGAACCATTTTGCTGCCAAATTCAGAAATAGACGAGACTCATTCAGCCACCCATCCACTCACGACCCCACTCACTCGCTCGTTCTACCAGGCACCCAATATATTCACTCACTCTACCACTCAATCACCCACCCACACACCCACCCACTCACCCACCCACTCACCACACTGCAGGTAACGGCCTTTCTCTTGATGCTGCTTCCCTTGCACTGATCTACTTTGTAATTATTAAGTTTGTACCGCAGTGGGGTTTGCTTGGTAGCATGGGGATGCTTTAGTTTAATCTGTTTGTGTTTTGGTGATTTGTTTACCTTTTTTGTGCTTTGCACGACTATCGCATTTTCGTATTGTTTGTTGTTTTAACGTTCTTATCCGCCCCTACTGGACATTTGTGAAAAGAGCTTTATAACCTGATAACTCATCAGATTCCTCTAGTATAAGTACATATTCTGATCTAATTCTAGATTCCCTCCTCCCATCATCGTATCTTACGATAACTTGTCTCAATAAATAAAAAAGAAACTTTTATCGATTACAACTTTGATGGTGCTGTTTGTTGCTGGTTGCTTGACGATTTTGGCCTGTGCTAAGAAACCTTGTGTTTACTTCACTCGCTCAGTAATTCACTCAGTCACTCACTCACTGGTGGCCAGTCACCTCCCTATGGCTCTTCTATCGCCACTACCGCGGTCACCGCTCCCAACGCACCTTGAGGCCCTTGGCACGGTTGATGGCGCGCAGTGGTCGCAGCACGCGCAGCACGCGGAGAATCTTCACCACGGAGATGGCGCTCGACCTGCGAGGAGATGCACACAAAGACAAAGCTCCCCCGTGTAGCCTACATAAGCTGTTGGGGAAAGTGCTGCTAGTGAGTAGCACCTATGAAGGCCGGCACTGCACACGAGGGGGTGGGTGGCCAGCACCACACCCGACCATCATTGTCTCCCCAGTGGCGATGTTTACACACCGCACAGGGTACTTGTTTAAGGTTGAGTCGACCAATCGGAGGCCTAGGATCAGTTTAGGTGCATGAGTAGGTGGCATGGGTCATCCGAATGAAAGACTAACTAAAAAAAAGTATGGGAATGAAGCAAAGAAAAAATTAGGGCAAAAACAACCGCAATACAGAAGAAATTACACATCGTACCAGGTACTCATTTGAGGCTGAGTCGACCTCGGGGAGGACCAGGACTTTTTTACATAATCGTCAATGGTGTTGGCGAACTCGGGTCTCTGGGTTCGTAGTACAGCGCGCTAACCACTGCACTACTGCTGTCCACATACACGCACACGTGCTTCTCACTGAATGCCGAAGGAGATGAGGGAGACTCCCACCACCAGCAGGTCCAAGAGGTTGAAGTAGCTGCGGCAAAACGAGCCCTTGTGCACAAACGCGCCGTAGGCCGTCATCTGAGCCATGGGGAAGTGGGTGGGGGAGGCACAGCAAGCACTGGAATCAGAGCAACATTGATGGAGATGATGGTGAGGGTGGTTGTGGTGGAGGTGATGAGGTTAGCGGTGGTAGTGGCAGTTGCTTTTTCTGGTGAGAATTGAAAAAGCAAGTGGGTGAGCAGGTGGGTGGAAAGGTAGGTGGGTGTTCAATTTGGTGAGTGGGTTGATCGGTAGGTGTATAGATGAGTGGGTAGGTGGGTGTGTGAAAGTTATTGGAAGGACCGGTGGATAGACAGGTGGGTGTCTGCAACTCCCCTCCCCGAGCAACCCTTGCTGTTGACTCCCTGCGCTGCCTCTTCTACTCTTGCTAGTTATTAAATACGTCAGGATGCTTTTTGTCCCACGTATCCATGTCCCTCTAATTTGTTTAGCAGCTTCAGATTAAGTTGCTCAAATGAGCATCGCAGCCATTGGTGGGAATTCCGTATTCATATGGTGGGAGTGAGTCTGCTGAGAGAGCAATCTCTGTTGTCTGATGGATAGCCTCACTGAGTCTCAATACTTTTTCAGGAGGGTCCTTTCAGGCAATGTTGCCGGCGTGTATTTCTTTAGCATTAGGGTGGCTGGCTAATGCCAGGCACTGTGTGGTATTTCTTGAGCTATGGGAGAAAACCAGAGAACCCGGAGAAAACCCATGCAGAACAGGGAGAGAACAAATTCCATAGAGTCCGAGATCGAACCCAGGCCCTTCTAGCTGCTAGGCACAAGTGTTACCTCTGCATCACCCTGCTGCCCATGATGGTGGTGATGGTGATCATGATCGCAGTGCTGTTGGTGATGGCGATGATTAGGGTTGCTGGCTGTTGTCACAACTAAAAAAAGCCACACACACATTGCGTGCTGTGCAGGTGAATCTACTCGTGCTGCATGCAAATGAGGCCTAGTGCAGGCGCGACGCTGGCGATGACATCAAACACTCTCAAGCCCTCTCGTGAGCCAGCCCTAATCATCCATTTAATGAACGTTAAATTGGCGACTGTGTGGCGTGATGGGTGGGTGGGGGTCTGATTCTTTGTTTTTTTTCTAAAGCAACATCAAAAGATGAGATGTATCCACATCGAGGCAGTCTCTTTGCCCTGTATTTGTCAGGCCGGGAGCGTGCGATGGGGAGGCAGGGGGTCCATCAGGGCAAGGGCGGCGCCGTATAAACCTCAGCTGTCACCACAACAATGTGAGTGATTACTTTGTGTTGTGTTTAATATAGTTTTCAACTAGGATCCATATCTAACAGAGATGGTCCTTGCCTAGAAACATCTGGCAGGTCACCAGCATTGCTTTCAGGGAGCCAGACTCTGCTAATGAGACACTGAACATCAAAACCGGTCCTGAATTTGACTGTGCTGAACCAATACTTCTGAAATAATGCACTTCTAGAAGGCCGTGCGGCAAATGGGATGTTAAAAAATTACTTTTATTGTTTTATGTACAGGGACATATATGTGAAGGTGATGAATTGTCTGTGTATAAATGTTTTTCTCCACAGCGACGTTCGTGATTATTTTGTGTTTTCGGCTTTAACCCTGAGATCAGCCAACTGCTAGCCACAGTATGGGCGACACGGCACCCGATAGCAGGAAAGAGTGATGCCAAATGCACACATGACGCCAGGGCATGTTACCTTGAGCATGATCTCTATGGTGAAGATGGTAGTGAAGGCATAATCAAAGTAGCCCAGGATCTGCAACCACATGAGACACGCATAGGCACGCATTACCACACAAAGTGGTATCGGCGGACTGTATGAATACGCGCCAGTAAACAAACCGAAGTATCAAAACATTGTGTCGAACGCCTACATTTTAGATCAATACAATGAACTAAGCATAAACAAACTGCACATACAACCCTTGGATTATGTTGCTGAATAAGAACACTTAATTATAACCGAGTAGATTTGGTCTTCATGCCATTCTCTGTAGCGCAGAGCGAAGGAAGACGCAGTCTGCAATAGTTTCTAAGGAAGAGCTGACAGTGCTGATGTGTGTCATCTCAAGTAATTTGCGGTTAATTAAAAAAATGTTGACCATGACGCCGGCACACAATGGCCTACTCTTTTAGAATTACATTATAGGATCTTTCACATCCATTGCCAGGCGGATCACGGGTGTTGTACTGAACGGTTATTACACGGCCATTGCTAATGAACCAGGTTGGCCAACCACATTGAACCTCAAACCTCTTCATTTGTTAAACACTTGCAACATCGTCAACTCGAGTATCACCAACCAAGGTCATTCCACTGCTGGATGAAGACCTCTGCAAGCTGCCGCCACCTCTTCTCTCGATTCCGTGATGCAACTATCCATGGACCCAGCAGCTGCACACCAGCTGATTTCACTGCCCCATATCACTTCTTCATTCCTCCTCCTTTCCCTGAGAGATAGTCCCAACATCCAGCAAATCTTTCTCATTTCCTAAGCATGTCCTTTCAAGCATCCATTCTTCTATCTTCCACGTTGATGTAAGGCTCACATGCCCACCATTGTCTCTACTGGCTGACTCACGCCCACTGGCAGGTGGCCGGTGTGCGTCACCTCGCTCCACTGCCACTAGGGCTGCCCTTTGAACGTTTTAGTTGACATGTGATCTACGGTACTTTGTAAGCACCATATTAACGCAAACAAGAATATTATTACTTAAATATGGCAGCAGGTTTTGCCTGTGAGTGTGACGTGAGTACAGGCAGAGTGCGAGGTTACATCCATAAGTCTTGAGAGTGGACATCTAAGCTAACTCGCAGAAGTAACCAGGAAATGCTCGTGTTGTATCGAGCGTATGCACTTGCACGTGTGCGTGGGTGGGCTGTCGGGGGGGGCGGTGGCACAGTGGTTAACACACTGCGTTATTGACCCGGTGACCTGAGTTCGATTGCCGCTCACAGCCAAGATCGGTGACGCATATCTGAACCCGTCTTGGGCCTCAGCTAGGTCGACTCAACCTTAAATGACTACCTGGCGCGGTGTGCAAACATCAGCATTGGGGAGACAAAGGTGGCCGGGCATGGTTCTGTCATGGTGCTGGCCACCCAACCCGCTCTTGCACCGTGTTGGCCCTCACATGTGCTCGCTTACAGCACTTGCCCCAACATTCTGCGAAGGCTTTACTGGGGATTCTTTGTCTTTGTGGGGAGTGTGCTTGCCCACCACATTCCCCAGCCGTAAACAAACGTAAGTTGTTGCGGTTGCTCGGACAACGCTGCTATTATGGGACCCTTGTTTGTTTACTGCTCTCCCCACAACCAAAGCGGAATGCGTTTTAACCAACTGCTTTTTCCGGCAGCCTTGAACCCTGAGCCAGTGCTGGGCCCTGAGCAGGGACCGTCGTTGGGCCGTCTTGAGTCGGCCCTTTGCTGTATCGTGCCGCAAGAGTGACCGCAGCATGGTCCGTCTGTCACCCCAACCCTCACAGCCTTCCCAAGGCCTTTGCAAGGAAAGGCCCCAGTTGGGGCAGCCTAAACAAACTCACTTGACCTTGATGTAATTTATATTCATAATAAATAATTCTGCCTTTTTTATCATGATTATACAGATAGCACCTACCTCGTTGCGGAAAGAGGTTGAGCGGATTGGGTCCTCAGCCGCAAGCGAGACGCTGCTGAGCATGATGAAGACGAGGATGAGGTTGGTGAAGATGGTGTGGTTGATGATGTGGTGACACAGGATACGGAACCTGTACAAGCCACGGTGTCAGAAGCAGAAACAGACAACAAAACGAATCCACGTTGCGGACGATGCCAAGCACGCAACTGTGACAAAACTCCAACCTTGTTAACAACTGCAACTATTTATTTGACATTATTTAGATTTTTAAATGTATATAATTTTAAATATTACCACCTGTCTGGGTCATTCTGGAAACTTGATGTCTGGGTGACAGGAATCGATTTGTACCAAAATCTGGTATTAGTATCGCGTTGAACTTCATCACAGATAGTGTATACTTTGTATCAACCGAGGCTGACTCAGAAACATGTCCGGTTTTGGTTGGTGGAAAAGGTGGCAACTCGATTCATCCACCAGCCTCCCACTTGCTCATCTTTCAGCGACATACCTCAACCCTCTCTGTTACCCACGTGCCCCCTACTAACCCTTCTTATGCCCTCGCTCCCACCTAATCACCCTGCTTCCACAACCTGACCTGACCCCACCCCCCTCTCCCCCAACTCACTCACCATCCATCAATTCCCAGGCAGGTGGCAACCCAAGGGATGAAGGTGGGGAGTAGGATGCATTGGTTAGTGGGTGGATTGGTGAATGGGCAGGTGGGGAGTGAGTGGGCAATCGAACCAAAAACTCGCTACAGGTTAGCATGAGCTGGATGGAGAGTTGGATGGGTGCGGAAGGATGAGTCAGGGCAGGTGGGCAAGCAGATGGATGAGTGAGCAATTGGGTGACCGGGTGGATGAGGGGACAGGTGGGCGAGCGGGTGGATGAGTGAGCGGGCGGGCGACCGGATGGATGAGCGAGTGAGTGGGCGGGCGGGCGTACGGGTTGGTGTGGCTGAAGAGGAAGAAAGCGGAGCTCTCGGGCATGGGCACCACTTTCTCCTTGATCTGCAGCTCAGAGAGACGGCGCGGACGCGGTCCCATTGGCACTTCGGGCTCACTCTCGTCGTCATCGCCTGTGTCGTGGCGTCGCCACCGTGACAGAGACACACAGAGGCGAGCGCACATGGTCACCGTCTCCGGCTCTCCCCTCATGCAGCCCAAACGACGATGTGTGAACTTAATGTGGAGTAAGTCTTGACTTAAAGCTTTCGTGACTGCAGGAATCCATGTTCGTTGGGTCTTTCGGTGAAGCCACGTAGATAGAAAAATAATAAAAACATCACGACGTTTTGATCGCAACACAAGCTAGTGAAAGGTCAAGGAATCTTTAACATCCACTGTGAAGCAGATGCTGCATTTGCTTAATGCACAGCATTAACCAGGATGGCCTGCAGGAATCGAACGGACCTCTGTCACTACCCCAGTGTCCATTTTTATACCACGCTTGATGATGCATTGCTTCAGTGGGGCTTTTACTTACGTTTAATGTATCAGCAATAAGATGTGTTTTTATTGGCTGATTTAATCGCCTATTTGTCTTGTTTTATAGTGACTATAAATTGCATTTGGATAGTTAAGTGCTCTGCTAGGTCTCAGCTATCTTAATGGAACGGTCGCCATTTTCATTGAAAAAGTCAGCAGTGGAAATACCACAGTCCTATGGCGGGGGCGAGTCTATCCAGTGTGTGAACCATGTTGTTGACGTCTGTGTGGTCCCATACATCCACACAAGTGCTGGGCATTGCCAATTTATGATACCAGTTTTGAGGTATGATTGGAAATTCCACATTTATATTGTGGAGATTCACCAATTCATCTGTTAATGTACCACGAACGCATGTTTGTGCTCAATTTGTCGACCAAGGACAGATGATCAAGGGCCGAGTCAGCCTTCAATCAGGATTTGAATTCGCATCTTTTCGGTGGAATGGGCACTTTGGTCACAGTAACAAAAGAGTCAGGAGCAGATTTACACGTTGGCTACGAGACATAAATGCGGAGAATTTGTAAACCTCGTGTCATCTCCGACAGCGCTGCTCTGCTCAGTTTCCCCCTCACGGGGGAACGCAGACAAATGTATCCCGAATGCCGCACTACCACTGGAAGGCTTCCAACTTGGAGTGTGGGCCTCTGTTCGTCTTCAGACAAAGTAATGCGACCGTAATCCCAGTCTCAGCCCTGGGACCTCAACAGACTTCTTGGCAAGACAAGTGACACATGGCGCCTTTCCTTCTTGGCTAAACTCAGAGAAGGCGTCGTGACAACAGCACGCAAGCGGGTGACCGTCAGGCGGCGTCGTGGCCAGGAGCTGGTTTTTCCAATTAAACAAAACTAAACTTGTATGCTTTTATATTTGGATGTATTGTGTCATTGTCAGGTCAAAAGGCGTCAAGGTAGGACAGTGAAAGCACTTGTGCCTCACAGTAGGTAGGCCCTGGAGTTCGATTCCCAAACAGGGAAACCTTTCAGTGTGGAATTTATATGTTCTCCCCCTGTTCTGTATAGGTTTCCACTGGATTTCTCTGGTATCCTCCCATGAACAAAGGCAAAGACACACATGTATGCATAAACACAGGAAAATATAGACAAACACAAAAATATCTTGTATCACCTTAACGGACTTTCTGGGCAAGTGTTTTTAGCGAGCACCTATGAAGGCACACGAGGGGGTGGGTGGCCAGGTACATCGCCTTTGTCTCCCTAGTGGTTATGTTTACACACCGTACCAAGTGCTCATCTGAGGCTGAGTCGAAGTAGGGGAGGCCCAGGACTGGTTAAGATAATTGTCACTGAGTAGGAATTAAACTCTTGTTGTCGGGTTTGTAACACAAAACGGTAACCGATGCACCACCACTGTCCACTGCTACACACACACAAACATAGATACAGACACAAAGACAAACATAGCGAGACACACAGAGACACATTTTGTCCCGAGGCAGCTGCCTAGGGACAGCGAACGACGTCCGGATGCCCCGCCACGAAGCGCACCTGGGTACTCGCTGGGAGGGTATGGGTCCTTCTCCTTGTCATCCTCTCCATCTGGGTCATCCAGAGGAATCTTCCAAACAGAAATGCACACGGACTTCAAACTTTCGTGACTACAGGAATTCATATTTTTGGTTCTTTCGGTAAAGTCACGAACATAGAAAATACAATAAAAATAAAAGATAATAAAATTAAAAAATAAAATAAAAATAATAAATTGAATATAATAAAAGCAAAAAACGCGATGTTTCCATCACAACACAAGTGGTCTTCATCTGGAAACAGCTTGCTTATTTAATTTTATTATCTTTTATTTAAATTTTATTTTCTATCTACATGACTTTACCAAAAGAACCAAAAATAGAAACGCAGACGTAGATACAATCAGTGATGTTAGCCGTGCATGGGAGTCAAACTCAGGGGCATCTCAGCATGCTTTACACCCGATAAGTGACTTACATCGCATCTCGTCTGAAACATTTAAAAGGAGCACGAGCTGTCCGGGGTAAATGACCCTCACACACTCACCTCACTCACCCTCTTAATCACACACTCACTCACACACTCACACACTCACCTCACTCACCCCGCTTACCTTGGTGGTGCTGTCCGGGGTGATGGCCTTCAGCTCCATGATCTCCTCGGTTCCGTTGGCCTCCCGTGACTCCTCCTTGGGCTTCTTCTCGGGACTACCGCTTCTGGGCAGACAGTGCTCTGGTGACACCCGACACCCCCGCGCTCTCCCCCCCCCCCTCCATGCATGCCGGGTTTTACACACAAGCCCAGGATTTCCCATTCCAAACTCTCTCTCGTGGAGTAATCCATAGTGTGGATGCATCTTCCAGACAGCAAACCCAAATACACTCTAGCCCTATCAAGACTGTGCAGCTTGCTGTAACAGAGTTCCACACAACTACACCGTTACCAGAATCTCAGGACTAATAAACTCCTGCCACCAACACAGATGCCAATCCCGGACCGACCGTGTCAAACCCGGACTGCCGACAACTTTCGTAAAACAACCCTACATCTAACCGCAACCCTTATGGCAGAGGACTTTGTGTTCTTGGGCCAGGTGTGGACAGGGGCAGTATATACGCTTGAATGCCATACTCGCACTTTTCACAACGGTTCCTATTCCCACACCACGACGTTTCCACAGAGGGGAACCGGCAGTGAACTCGGGCTGCCAGACCAACAGGTTTCATAGTGGCCCCGTACCTGGCGATCTTCTTCCTCTCCTTCTCCTCCTCCGCTTCACGCTGAGCTGACGTGAGGCTCTCCGCGTCTGCCAGGTTGTCCACGGCGATGGCCAAGAACACATTGAGCAGAATGTCTGCACGCCGCGTCGCAGTGTCGCTCAGAAAAAAACACGCGATGACCTTCCTGATATTGCGGCTCATATATTTTTCTGCTCCTGTGGAGTCTTAACCAGAGCTCGGCTGAAGGGGCCACGCTGCCTTTTTGGCGAACCCATCATTTCATTCCGCGCATCCGTGTTTCTGCGGGCGGGCGGCGGGTTTACGAACTCGTCCCTCGGTAACGTCCCATGCAGACTTGTTAGAGACCTGTCGCGGGTCTCCGAGCTTTGGGGATAAGTGGTGCCCATCGGAGGGATTCACCAATGGGTCCAGTCGCCTGGATAGCGATGGCCGCTTTTCAGATATTAGCGCCGACCAGCAGGCTCACGCCTTCACTGAACTGCACCGATCGATCAAAGTTCCTACTCAAGTGAGCATTGAGGCGGTGCTCAACTCCTGTTTACAACCAGTGGTGAAAATTGCACATTCATATGGCAGGGGTAAGTCTATGCATCAGACAGCCATTATTGACTTTTCCACAAAGAGTTGCTTGTTTTTTCAACTCCAGAGGTTCTGTGGCTTCCTCCCAAACATCCCAATGCTGAAAAATTCCCTGAAAATGACTCACTTGGGATTAAACATGGCAGCAACATTGCACCCAACTGCAAAACAACCTGGCAGGATTCTCCTGAAAAGGAGTCTTGAGGCCTTCCTGGGGGTAAGGCAGGATACAGTTCCCGCAGATGAAGAGGATGATGAAGTAGATGCAGACGAGCATCCCTGGGAAGGAAGGACCCCCGTACGCCCTGATGCCATCGTACATCACAGAGTTCCAATCCTCTCCAGTGAGGATCTGCGAAGGTGAGGAGGTGGGTGAGTGACAGAAGAGGAGAGAGAGGGTGGAGGGAGGGAGGGCGGTCACTCACCAATGTGCATGCGCGCACGCATACGCATAGGTGCACAATCCACAGGGACACAAACATAGATGTCCACATACAAGAATACACATATACACATATAGTTCAAGACACATATTCCCGATATAGTTTTTAACAGGCCATTCGGGCAAGTGCTGTTCGTGATCGCCGATGAAAGCCGGCACAGCACATGAGGGGGCAGTGCGGCCAGTGCCACGCCCGGCTGCCTTTGTCTCCCCGGTGCAAATTTTTACACACCGCACCAAGTACTAATTTAAGGCTGAGTCGACCCCAGGGAAGCCCAGGACCGGTTCACTACATTATACTGCTCCCCACACTCACATACACAGATACAAACGTGCACAAACACACCCAAAGACATACACATGCACTTGGAAGGAAATTCTGGCAGGCCAAAAATGTTTTCCATTCTTAAAGTTACCAATGTTTTATTTAATAACGAATCTGGCTCTATTGAAAACACAGAAAACCAAATAAATCAAGCACACCTCCAAAACTAAATCCCTCTTAAGCCTGGTTAGACCAGAAAGAGTGATGTTAGCAAGCACCTATTAAGGTCGGTAAGGGACTTATCTGGGTGGTGTGACCTCAGTGTTGATGTTGGTGATCAAACCGTGATACCACTTACAGATTTTAGGCTGAGTCAACATAGGAAATACCAGTGGCCATCATAGCTAGGAATGTAGCTTAAATGCTCACACACACTCACATAAACATGCGTAGACTTCCTCACATTTACAACAACAGCCGCCATTCGCCATCTAAGTGGTGGTGACATCACCATGGCGCTTGTGCCAGGCTCGATGCACTTTGAGGCCACGTAAAATATCGAAGGCCCGCTGGCAGGAGGCAGTCACGGGACAGACCCAGGTCCCATGGGTTGACTGACTGAGATGACTGGCAGATACACCAACTGTGCTCTCCACTGTTGCAGCTCTCTGTGCTTTATCAGCCCGGCGTTCCGCTCATTATTGTGAGCATTGCTCCTCTCTCCAACTCCCCAACAGCATCTTTCATGAACCTCCTCCACAGAGGCCAATCGTGATACCGCTCATATCGGTCATCAGCAAGGTTACTCAGCTCCACATCCTGCTGTACCCACATCAGGCCATCTCTTCTCTGCCCGTGCTGCACCCATTTAGCTCCCTGCATCTGACTAACCATGACACTCATCCACTTACAGCCATTCACTAAGCCACTCACACTCACTGACCCACTCATCATCACGCACCTGGAAGACGGTGAGCAGCGCAGTGGGGAAGTTGTCGAAGGACGAGCGGCGGACCTGCGTCTCGTCGAAGTTGAACTTGCCCCCGAAGAGCTGCATCCCGAGCAGCGAGAAGATGATGATGAAGAGGAAGAGCAGCAGGAGCAGCGACGCGATGGATCGCATCGAGTTGAGCAGCGATGCCACCAGGTTACTCAGAGAGTTCCAGTACCTGGGTCGGGCAAGAGGGCACAGGCAGAGTGGTAGGGTCAGGGTTAGGATGAGGGTTGAGGTTAAGGTTACGGTGAGTGTTGTGTTTCGGGGTTCGGGGTAGGGAAGGTATTCGCTGTGTGCACGCCAACGCTTATCAAGAACGAATCTTTTCAGTTGCGTGCCACGCCAAGGACACGCATCCTGAGGCGCTCAGTCAGAGTGGCATCGAGCGAGCGTCGGTGCAGGACGGCGGGCGACGGCGCTTCACCTCGTGGCTTTGAAGATCCGCAGCAGCCTGACGCATCGGAGCACGGAGATACCCAGGGGGGACATCACCTTCAGCTCGACGAGGATCGTCTCCACGATGCCGCCACATACCACGAAGCAGTCAAATCGGTTGAAGAGTGACACAAAGTAGGCCTGCAGGCCCAGGCTGTAGATCTTCACGAGCATCTCCAGGGTGAAGAGCGCCAGCAGAACCTTGTTGGCCGTGTCTGTGCGCAAGCCACAAAGGGGCCCGACAGGGATAATAGCAAAACACAAGGAAGGAAACAATCATGCACATGCACGGGTTACAGATAGACTTGCCACGTCACACAACAATGTAAAGGCAATGTGTGCAGTTGCGTGCAGTGAGTGAGGCACAAGTAGTGTGTTGCCAGGATTAAGGGGGTGTGAGTGAGATGTGAGTGAGATGTGAGTGAGGTGTAAGCATGTGTGAGTGGTACGAGTGTTGAATGTGAGTGAGGCATGAGTGAGGTGTGAGTGAGGCGTCAGTGAGGTGTGAGTGAGATGTGAGTGAGGTGTGAGTGTGCGAGTGGTACGAGGGGTGAGTGAGGTGTGAGTGTGTGAGTGAGGTGTGAGTGTGCGAGTGGTACGAGTGTTGAGTGTGAGTAAGGCGTGAGTGAGGCGCGAGCGAGGGGTGAGTGAGTATGAGTGAGGGGTGAGTGAGGGGTGAGTGAGTGGTGAGTGAGTGTGAGTGAGGGGTGAGTGAGGGGTGAGTGAGGTGTGAGTGAGGGGTGAGTGTGAGTGATGGGTGAGTGAGGGGTGAGTGAGGGGTGAGTGAGTGTGAGTGAGGGGTGAGTGAGTGTGAGTGAGGTGTGAGTGAGTGTGAGTGAGGGGTGAGTGTGAGTGAGGGGTGAGTGAGGGGTGAGTGAGTGGTGAGTGAGTGTGAGTGAGTGTGAGTGAGTGTGAGTGAGGGGTGAGTGAGTGTGAGTGAGGGGTGAGTGAGTGTGAGTGAGGGGTGAGTGAGTGTGAGTGAGGGGTGAGTGAGTGTGAGTGAGGGGTGAGTGAGGGGTGAGTGAGTGGTGAGTGAGTGTGAGTGAGGGGTAAGTGAGTTGTCAGTGAGGGGTGAGTGTGAGTGAGTGTGAGTGAGTGTGAGTGAGGGGTGAGTGAGTGTGAGTGAGTGTGAGTGAGTGTGAGTGAGGGGTGAGTGAGTGTGAGTGAGTGTGAGTGAGTGTGAGTGAGGTGCGAGTGAGTTGTCAGTGAGGGGTGAGTGAGTGTCAGTGAGGTGTGAGTGAGTGTGAGTGAGGGGTGAGGGAGTGTGAGTGAGTGTGAGTGAGTGTGAGTGAGGGGTGAGTGAGTGTGAGTGAGTGTGAGTGAGTGTGAGTGAGGGGTGAGTGAGGGGTGAGTGAGTGTGAGTGAGGCGTCAGTGAGGTGTGAGTGAGTGTGAGTGAGGGGTGAGTGAGTGTGAGTGAGTGTGAGTGAGTGTGAGTGAGGGGTGAGTGAGTGTGAGTGAGTGTGAGTGAGTGTGAGTGAGGTGCGAGTGAGTTGTCAGTGAGGGGTGAGTGAGTGTCAGTGAGGTGTGAGTGAGTGTGAGTGAGGGGTGAGTGAGTGTGAGTGAGTGTGAGTGAGTGTGAGTGAGGGGTGAGTGAGTGTGAGTGAGTGTGAGTGAGTGTGAGTGAGGGGTGAGTGAGGGGTGAGTGAGTGTGAGTGAGGCGTCAGTGAGGTGTGAGTGAGTGTGAGTGAGGGGTGAGTGAGTGTGAGTGAGTGTGAGTGTGAGTGAGGGGTGAGTGAGTGTGAGTGAGTGTGAGTGAGTGTGAGTGAGGGGTGAGTGAAGGGTGAGTGAGTGTGAGTGAGGCGTCAGTGAGGTGTGAGTGAGTGTGAGTGAGTGTGAGTGAGGTGGGAGTGAGTGTGAGTGGGTGTGAGTGAGTGTGAGTGAGGTGCGAGTGAGTGTGAGTGAGTGTGAGTGAGGGGTGAGTGAGTGTGAGTGAGTGTGAGTGAGTGTGAGTGAGGGGTGAGTGAGGGGTGAGTGAGGGGTGAGTGAGTGTGAGTGAGGCGTCAGTGAGGTGTGAGTGAGTGTGAGTGAGGGGTGAGTGAGTGTGAGTGAGTGTGAGTGAGGGGTGAGTGAGTGTGAGTGAGTGTGAGTGAGTGTGAGTGAGTGTGAGTGAGGCGTCAGTGAGGTGTGAGTGAGTGTGAGTGAGTGTGAGTGAGGTGCGAGTGAGTGTGAGTGAGTGTGAGTGAGTGTGAGTGAGGTGCGAGTGAGTGTGAGTGAGTGTGAGTGAGGGGTGAGTGAGTGTGAGTGAGTGTGAGTGAGGGGTGAGTGAGTGTGAGTGAGTGTGAGTGAGTGTGAGTGAGGTGCGAGTGAGTTGTCAGTGAGGGGTGAGTGAGTGTCAGTGAGGTGTGAGTGAGTGTGAGTGAGGGGTGAGTGAGTGTGAGTGAGTGTGAGTGAGTGTGAGTGAGTGTGAGTGAGGGGTGAGTGAGTGTGAGTGAGTGTGAGTGAGTGTGAGTGAGGGGTGAGTGAGGGGTGAGTGAGTGTGAGTGAGGCGTCAGTGAGGTGTGAGTGAGTGTGAGTGAGTGTGAGTGAGGCGTCAGTGAGGGGTGAGTGAGTGTGAGTGAGTGTGAGTGAGTGTGAGTGAGGGGTGAGTGAGTGTGAGTGAGTGTGAGTGAGTGTGAGTGAGGGGTGAGTGAGGGGTGAGTGAGTGTGAGTGAGGCATCAGTGAGGTGTGAGTGAGTGTGAGTGAGTGTGAGTGAGGTGCGAGTGAGTGTGAGTGAGTGTGAGTGAGTGTGAGTGAGGTGCGAGTGAGTGTGAGTGAGTGTGAGTGAGGTGCGAGTGAGTGTGAGTGAGTGTGAGTGAGGGGTGAGTGAGTGTGAGTGAGTGTGAGTGAGTGTGAGTGAGGTGCGAGTGAGTGTGAGTGAGTGTGAGTGAGTGTGAGTGAGGGGTGAGTGAGTGTGAGTGAGTGTGAGTGAGGGGTGAGTGAGTGTGAGTGAGTGTGAGTGAGTGTGAGTGAGGGGTGAGTGAGTGTGAGTGAGTGTGAGTGAGTGTGAGTGAGGTGCGAGTGAGTGTGAGTGAGGGGTGAGTGAGTGTGAGTGAGAGTGAGTGTGAGTGAGGTGCGAGTGAGTGTGAGTGAGGGGTGAGTGAGTGTGAGTGAGTGTGAGTGAGTGTGAGTGAGGTGCGAGTGAGTGTGAGTGAGGGGTGAGTGAGTGTGAGTGAGTGTGAGTGAGTGTGAGTGAGGTGCGAGTGAGTGTGAGTGAGTGTGAGTGAGGGGTGAGTGAGTGTGAGTGAGTGTGAGTGAGTGTGAGTGAGGGGTGAGTGAGTGTGAGTGAGTGTGAGTGAGGGGTGAGTGAGTGTGAGTGAGTGTGAGTGAGTGTGAGTGAGTGTGAGTGAGGTGCGAGTGAGTGTGAGTGAGGGGTGAGTGAGTGTGAGTGAGTGTGAGTGAGGTGCGAGTGAGTGTGAGTGAGTGTGAGTGAGTGTGAGTGAGGTGCGAGTGAGTGTGAGTGAGTGTGAGTGAGGGGTGAGTGGGTGTGAGTGAGTGTGAGTGAGTGTGAGTGAGGTGCGAGTGAGTGTGAGTGAGTGTGAGTGAGTGTGAGTGAGTGTGAGTGAGTGTGAGTGAGGTGCGAGTGAGTGTGAGTGAGTGTGAGTGAGTGTGAGTGAGGTGCGAGTGAGTGTGAGTGAGTGTGAGTGAGGGGTGAGTGAGTGTGAGTGAGTGTGAGTGAGTGTGTGTGAGATAGTGCGATTGAGTGTGAGTGGGTGTGAGTGGGTGTGAGTGAGTGTGAGTGGGTGCGAGTGAGTGTGAGTGAGTGTGAGTGAGTGTGAGTGGGTGCGAGTGAGTGTGAGTGAGTGTGAGTGAGGGGTGAGTGAGTGTGAGTGAGTGTGAGTGAGTGTGAGTGAGGTGTGAGTGAGTGTGAGTGAGTGTGAGTGAGTGTGAGTGAGGTGCGAGTGAGTGTGAGTGAGGTGCGAGTGAGTGTGAGTGAGTGTGAGTGAGGGGTGAGTGAGTGTGAGTGAGTGTGAGTGAGTGTGAGTGAGGTGCAAGTGAGTGTGAGTGAGTGTGAGTGAGGGGTGAGTGAGTGTGAGTGAGTGTGAGTGAGTGTGAGTGAGTGTGAGTGAGGGGTGAGTGTGAGTGAGTGCGAGTGAGTTTGCGCGTCGCGGTGCAGTGGCTGGCGAGCGGCACCCTGCACGTGCGTGAGCCACTGCATCTGCTCGTAGTGCTCCGAGGCGATGGTGAGCGTGTTGAGGAACACCAGCACGATCACCATCCAGTAGAACGCCGTCGACTTCACCGCCGCTCGGCACTTCCGGCGCCAGAAGCGGTTCCATCGACGCCACCGTCGGCTGTGGTTTCGGCGCGGAGGGAGGAACGTGCGTGCGTGTGCAGCACACACGGAGACGGTGGTACACGAATATGAAGACGAATACAACACACGTACATACACGCATGCATACGCACGCACAGACACGCGTACCGACACGTGCACTCACACGCATACAACACGTGCACAAGCACACACAAAGACAAAAACATGCACACAAGTGAACACATGCGCATGTGCGCATAAAAAACACACACATGCAGAAACACACACGCGCTCAAACACACACGTGCACACGCAGGCACGATGGACAGCGAGCGACGGGACAAGGGGAGTGGGCATGAGTCAGTGGCACGGAGAGATCGCGAGCGTTGGCGGGACCTGCGAGTCACCCTCGGGAACCCACGGGGAGAGGACTCAGCCTTAAATTAGTACCTGGCTCAATGTGTACACATCAGCACTGGGGAGACAAAGGTGGCCTGGCGTGGTGCTGGCCTCGTGTGCCGTATTGGGCTTTGTAGGCACTCATTAACAGCGCTTGCCCCAATGGTGTGTTAAGGCTATATGGAAATTCTTTGTCTCTGCGTTTGTGTGCAAGGAGTGAGCGGTAAGGGCTGGTGCTGGTATGTGTGTGTTGGTTGTGTGCGGAGGTGGAAAATAGGACAAGTAAAAGCATCTAACACCGCTCAAGGAGGTGACAGGTCAATATTCCCAAATTATAATTGGATAATCAGGCCTGGTGGCTCAGTGGTAGAGCGAGCAGATCGCAATCGGAAAGTTGCGAGTTTCAATTCTGGTTGGGGGTGACTGAGACCATCATCTCTTCAGGGATGATAAAATAAGTACCACTTTGCAAAGATACCAACTGTGGTTGGCCAAGGACAGACTTACCCCCACCAAAGAAATATGGAATTTTCCATCACTGGCTGAGGGCTCGAGACAGGAGATGAGCACCGCATCAGTGGTCATGTGAGAAGAAACTTGCTGACTCTGACGCACGGAGCCTCACTGCATCTCAAGATTATTTTAAGGAGGCGGTGGCAATTTCTGTGCTTCCCAATTGAGTTATTTGCGGTGTTGTTCAACATCCACTGTGATAGTGAAAAAGGCGGTGCAAAGCATTAATATGGTTAACACGCACGGCAGCATTGACCGGGGGGGAAGCCTGGCAGATTCATATGATTGGATGAAGAAGGAATCTGTGAGATTATCGCTGCGTACCGACACCGGAAATCGCTCCCAGAATGCATCGCAGCTTCTGCCAGCGCCATTTGCTCGCCATTGCGGCTACCGATTGCAATGTGTAACCTCCGTATTTTCAGCGCCGCCACTCACGACGATCCGGCCAATCATTAGCGAGTGGCCGCGTTCATGAGTGAGCGATTGCGATCAACTTCATCAGAATCTGTATTTATCCTGGAGGAATCTGATGAGCTTTGAAGCTCTTTGTGACAGTTGTCCAGTAGGGGCGCAGGGTCAGCACCGACTATAACAAGCAACTTTGTTCGCTCCGAGTGCCAAATACCAATGAGTAAACAAAGACGTGCAGCATACCGCGTACCACAGCTTTGTCCAGACTACCAATATAGACCTTTACTTGTATGTATGTTGCATTTGTTTTCACACCGTACGTAGCCAACTGTGCTAATCGAAGGTGCGGGGGAAGGACAACAAACTAAACACAAAAAGCAGTTCGAAAGAAATGAGTTTTCATTTTAGATCACCAACTCAAAGAGGTGAGAAGAAGTGGTCATTCCAACGGGCCGGTGGTGATAAGTTGGGGGTGTGGATAAGGCTGCGAGCTGCTGCACCTGCGATGCTCTACACCCCTGTGTGAGGCAACCCGTCCCGAGCGACGGGTTGCCTCTTCAGATACAGTTTTGAAACGGCCATGAACACAGAATGGCCATGAACAGAGAAGCGAATGCATGATGCCCGTCTGCTCCTTAAGAAGAGTGCTGCTTTTAAGGCGGTGGCACCATCGACTAACCTGTATTTAGACTTGGAAATTCTGTGCCTGTAAAGACATAGACAACACACCACCATGCATGAGCCACTGGGACGGGAGCACGACGACACTGCATGCTCACAGCGCAAGACGATGACGCGACGGAGGGGACGAAAACGACCACCGCGGTGTTGAAGTCTGGGCTGGCGCGAGACTCACACGACCCGGGCGCAGACCGAGAGGCTCTCCAGCTCCCCGCTCCCCACGTTCTCCGTGTTGGCCGACTCCGACTCACTCGCCGGGGCACTGGCTGTCGCACGCAAACAACAAAAAGAACAAGAATCCCCGTGTAGACTCAAGAGGCAATTCGAGAAAATGTTGACACTTCGTAGGCCACGGTCCTCGAAATAATCTGGCCAGGCCATCGTGAGCGCTCATTCGCGTGTATATGTTGTCAAACAGACTATTGGGGCAAGTGCTGTTAGCAAGGACCTATGAAGGCTGGCATGGCACACGGTGGGGGGGGGGGGGGGGGGGGGGGGGCGGTGGGTGGCCAGCACCACGTTTAACCACCTTTGTCTCCCCAGTGGCAATATTTCAACCCCCGCACTTGATACTCATTTAAGGCTGAGTCGACATAGGGGGGGTCCAGGAACTCACGCCGCCAGGTTCGTAGTGTAGTGCACTAACCACTACCCTACCGTTCCCTGCACACACAAAGACAACGATCCCCCGAAAGCCTTTAGACTGTTGGGGCAAATGCTGCAAGAGAGCAATGCTTATTTCACTTGCTTATCCAGCAAAGCCTCGCTGAGTCTCAAGACTCGTTTTAATGAGGGTCCTGCTGAAGATTTCTCATAAGGGGGTGACAAATGTTGCCGAGTCAATTCTACGAACTGTGTTGAGCTGAGAAGCCTGTGCTGCTGCTGCTGCCCCGTGATAGGCCAGAGCGTGGCAAGCGGAGGCTGTGAGCCACGCTGTGCGCAGGCCGTTAATGCAGTCATCCGATGCTGCCTCCGGGAGACGTCACCGAGGGCATTGCGAATGAGACGTTTTAAGTGGTTACGCCGCGGCCCAGCGAGAACGTATTCGCCGCTTGTTGCAGAGGTTCGCAGCTCCAATTTGGCAGGCCACCATAGTTATAACTGTGGCTGTATTAACAGCAAAATACTCCACTGCTTCACTCACAAAGGACGTTAAATATTTCGGAACATCATTTGAAATTAGTAGAAGGCCACTGCATGGCGGTGCCACAGTCCAAATTTGCCTAATTAGAAAAATTTACCTGAAAATTACTCAATTGGGATCACACTCAGCAGCAATCATCACCTTCTGCAGGCAGACTAATGCCCGCTTGCAAACCAGGAGGCGAGTCGCCTATTTCTGCGCAGGGACAGCTGCCACTGGGGGTGCCCTTTATAACGTGTTGAGATCAGATGCAAGTCGCCTAACTCGTGTAACGCGATCTGAGGCGCCACCCCCGGTGTAAAGCAGAGCTGCTCAATCAGAAACAAAACCATCATCATTATGATTATATATTATTTATACCATTAAATTGTGTGTGACCATGCCATTACGTGTTTGATCCATGCGTGTCAGTCGACACCGTGGACACAAGATGTTCCATCTCAAGGGATTTCCCAGGTGAAATACTTTAATTTGAAAGAAAAAGGAGGATCATATACCAACTCACGCTTTTGTGCCGAGAATAGCTGCATACAGACACGCACGTGACATTTTAATTAAAATACCACTTATTTTTAATGCATGTCACATCTAAAAAAAAATGGACCGACTTGCTTTATCGGTGCGTCTATGCATTGCTCACCATCGGCAAAACCCATCTCACCAACGAGGTGAGGTGAGGTGATGCAGGAGAGTACGGGGGGTGGAGGCATGGCCACAGATGAATGATTTCCCTCATCACGTCTATTGCAAGCCAATCATTACCATGAGTTCACTCGTCAGAGTAAAATCACAAATTACCAGTGGGGCGCGATGATGTAAAATGCCCCCACGGCTGACGGCTTAAGCGTGCCATTTTTTAAATATTTCAGATATTTAACAATCGCACGGCAGGTCAAGGTCAAGAGGTCATCATGGCCAATGGCACTGCTGCCACCATGTGCAGATGAAACTTCACATCGGACCACATTGTTTTATTTTTGAACGTGCTTGCCGAGCATAGGCCCACGCGTAGTGTACGTTTGTATGTACGTATGTATGTTTGTATGCTTGTATGTATGTTTGTATGTATGTATGTTTGTAGTTGAACTTCTGTCACGTTGTACGTTTATGTGGAGGGATAGATATGGGAAGCAGGCATCGCGCCTGCTTGGTCATCTCGCTACGAAGTCTCCCGGCTCCGTCATGAGATGACCAAGCAGGCATCGCGCCTGCTTGGTCATCTCGCTACGGAGCCTCCCGGCTCCGTCATGAGATGACCAAGCAGGCATCGCGCCTGCTTGGTCATCTCGCTACGGAGTCTCCCGGCTCCGTCATGAGATGACCAAGCAGGCATCGCGCCTGCTTGGTCATCTCGCTACGGAGTCTCCCGGCTCCGTCATGAGATGACCAAGCAGGCATCGCGCCTGCTTGGTCATCTCGCTATGGAGTCTCCCGGCTCCGTCATGAGATGACCAAGCAGGCATCGCGCCTCCGTCATGAGAGCGCCGCTGCACTGCTGGGTTTGGCCAATCCTCTTGGGCATGAAGCAGTAAGGGGAAGAAATGCCACTCCAACTTCACACGAGTTTTGCTTTCCTATCTCAATGCAAACTTCTATTAACAAATAAAGCCAAAAGTCCAAGTGATTATCTGATCAAATGAGCATTGAGGCAGTTCGCATCTGTTTATAGCCCTGAGCAAGTGATGGGAATTCCACATTTCTATGGTGAGGATGAGTTTATCCATAGGAAAACCACTGATGATTGTCCCCATAAAGTGATATGCATTCTATTGCTCCTGAAGGGATGATGAGTTGATCCACCTGGCTGATAACTCACAGGTACACACACGCAAACACCACAGTGGTCTCAATGGAACCAGAATTATTGTTGGAAGGTGATAGAATAATAACCTGAGACAATCGAAGAATCTTTAAAGTTAATTGCATGAGAATGTATCCTGTGAACCAAATTCAAATATTCACAGCAAAGCTCTCTGCTCCGCCTCACATTGCATTGTCGGAGTCGGCCGCCTGGAGAAGCCGTCCAATAAGGAGATGGAGCAATTAAATCAGTTCTTGGGCGGCTTGTTATATCGCAAGATCGTAACAGATGGTGGTGGCTGGGGAGACTTTCATCCATCAGTGGAATGACCATGGCTGATGATGATAACGTTGATAGGATGAATATTTCTTCATCAATTACTTTCGATTGCTCCCTCATTCTACCTCAATTTTCCTTGCTAGTTTCTATACAATACTTATATTTCCAGCTGGCCTATGCACATATATAGCGAGAGGGAAGCTGCTCTACATTGAGTGTGGATTACATTTCTCGACTGACCCAGAGGTCAGGGTGAGGAGAATGAGGGTTCACGGTGAAGGAGGGCACAGGGTGGCCAGCCAGGATCCGAAGGTACCTTGCGAGCCCCTTTCAGGACTGCTCCCCCCCGTCCCTACATTCCCAGCCCCCCTAAAAAGCAAGCTTGAATATTATATATTCATGCGATCTAACCCCAAAAAACCCGTGCTATGGTTGAATGCTTATTTTGCCAACAATGCAGAGATAACGAGGAGTCTGAGGGTCCGGCCACCAAGCACTGCCACAGTCACAATAACCGAATCTTTTGTCTCACATTGCACTGCAGGTCACAAAAAAACCCCTCACTAAACAAAAAACCCCCATACAGCATTCACAGACTGTAGGCCAGCACACACACACACACAGACACTATATATCTCACTCTAAATACTGCTCACTCTGCCGCTTACAGGGCCCTAATTGAGGGGAAGTGTCTTCTTGAAAGGATCTCTTTGCAGGCGACACTAATTATATCTCACACCTCGCGCGCAGCAACACCCCCAGAGGTCACAGCCCTCACATGCTCGAGTTCATCGGACCGCCACGTGGATTCGGCTGCCACGTGAGTGACACGCGCTCCGTCATCATGAGACGTGGTCTATCCGATGCTGGGCACAACAAGACACTTCTCCCTCACTCTCAATCACCCACTCAACCACCCACTCACTCAATCACCCACTCAACCACTCACCCACTCAACCACTCAACCACTCACTCACTCACCTACCCACTCACTCACCCATTCTCTAATTCGTTCTATCACCCGCTCACTCAATTACCCACCCACTCGCTTAATGATCCACTCACTCACCACGCTGCAGAACAAAGGATAAGATACAAACACGACGCAGAAATGTGGCCGACCCAGGAATCGAACCCAAATACTTTTTGCTCGGAGGCGCTACAACTGTTACCACTGCACCGACCAGCCATCATAAAAGTGTATGTGGCGCGTGTATTTAAGGTAACCGCTAAAATAATGGGAACCATTTCTTTTTTTACCAGCTACCTTGAAGCAATTACCGGTCATGCAAACGAACCCATTCTGAGAGCCGTCGTGGAATCTATTCCCTCTTGCCGCTCGCTCCCATTAAGCCAACAACGACGTTTCCCAAAACGACTGTAAACAGTAGAACAACAACAACAACACAGCAAACGGTGGTGGCGGTGGCAGCAGAGCGTGGGCGGAGAAGGGTGGGAGGGAGGGAGGGAGTGGAGGGACGGTGACTGCTGCTGGGGGACCTTTAAGGACCCCTGCCGTGGGGGTGGGGGCCACGTGCACACGCGAGGCCTAAACGTCCCCACCAATTAAAATGCTCACGTGCCTATTCGCTGAGGAATGTTGCTACTCGCGTTATTACTCCGTTACCCGACCAGGTGGCTGCTCAGTGGCAGTGAGCGGCTTGCAGTTGGAAGGTCAAGAGTTCAACTCCAGGTTTACATGGTTGACTCAGCTCATCATCCCTCGTCCATGCGGAGTTGATCACATGAGTACCACTTTGTGGTTGTCCTATGGATAGACTTGCCCTCGCAATAGGAATGTGGAACTTCCAGCATTGACTCACGGGTGAAAATGGGAGCGGGGTACCGCCTCCATGCTCATTGAAGGGGACATCGCTTTGGCTTTGGATGTAATCTTTTAAAACAGGGCCCTGCATTCATAAACAACTCAACTTATCTTCCCTGATAAAATACCAATATCCGTGGTCCCAAGGGGGGTGGGGGGGGGGCGATCACCCTCATCTCCCCCCCCCCGCCCGTCGGCTCTGCCACCGCATCAATGATGCGAGGGAGCCATTGCTCCACCACCCATACGACCTCTCCCTCGCTCCCTCACCGAGGCGTGCCTCCTCCTTGCCCTCCTCCTCGTTCTCGGGGTCGATGTCCTCGGCCTGAGTGATCCAGTCCAGGTACCCCCGCAAATCCTCCTCCAGCTGCTGCTTCTCACGCAGTTTCTGGAAGTCGCCCCGTGCTTTCGCCTTCTCTCGCTCCTTTGAGAATTCCCTGCGAGGGCGACAAAGGAGGGGGGAGGAGCGGGGAAGAGGAGGAAATCGCACCATAAGTACGCGGCGACATGGCCTGGTAGTACACAGGTTCGTTGTTCAGTCAAGGCAGGCCGCCCTGGTTAATACTGCATTGCTGCCCGCAGAGTCATCAATCAGAACAACAACCGCCGTTCGCTATTAAGTGGCAGTGACATCACCACGGTGCTCGTACCAGGCTACGTGCACCTTAAGGTCGTGTGAAGTATCGAATGCCCACGGGCAGGAGGTCACGGGACAGACCCAGGTGCCAGGGGTTGACTGGCCTATGCACAACCTTGTGCCCCCTATTGTGCCAACTTGTTGTGTTTATCCTTCCGGTGCTTTGCACCACCTCACCATGCAAAGCCTTACCACACACAATCTCATCACACACAGCCTCACCACTCACAACCTCACCACTCACAACCTCACCACTCACAACCTCACCACTCACAACCTCACCACTCACAATCTCATCACACACAACTTCACCACACAGCATCGTCACACAGCCTCACCACACAGCCTCACCACACAGCCTCACCACACAGCCTCACCACACAACCTCACCACAAAGCCTCATCACACAGCCTCGTCACACAGTCTCACCACACACAATCTCATCACACACAATCTCACCACACAACCTCACCACACAGCCTCACCACACAGCCTCGTCACACACAGCCTCACCACAAACGTGCCATATTTAGCCACGATGATGATGTTAACGACACAGTTATCATCACAAATGATGATGTTACAGTATTTACTCATGAATCCCAATCAAAACATGTTTTATCATGGAGGAATCCGATGAGCTATGAAGCTCTTTTCCACAGATGTCCAGCAAGTCACAATGAGCATGACAGTCCCGGTGACGGCGACGACTTCTCCGGCGATGACGGTGATGCCACCTCGGTAGAGGTGAGTAACGCACCCGCTCAGCACTCCCAAGACGAGGTTTAGAACGAAGAATGATCCAAAGATGACGAGACTGACGAAGTAGACCCATGGCAGTTCGTAGCCAATGGCGTCTTGCATCTGAGGGAGGTGAACGAGGGGGGGGGGGGGCACGCGGAGTGAGCCGTCGCAGCGTCAAGGAACCACCGCGGCCACCAGAGCCACCGACGCAACCTCCCCTCCGCCAGGGCCCACAGCTGCTGCACTGGAGACGCGCGGCAACCTCCACGGCCTACCCCGAGAGTCTCATCCCCACCATCTGGTCTTAGATAGACTCACACAGAGACACATAGACTCACACAGAGACCCATAGACTCACACAGAGACACATAGACTCACACAGAGACCCATAAACTCACACAGAGACACATAGACTCACACAGAGACCCATAGACTCACACAGAGACCCATAGACTCACACAGAGACCCATAGACTCACACAGAGACCCATAGACTCACACAGAGACACATAGACTCACACAGAGACCAATAGACTCACACAGAGACCCATAGACTCACACAGAGACCCATAGACTCACACAGAGACCCATAGACTCACACAGAGACACATAGACTCACACAGAGACCCATAGACTCACACAGAGACCCATAGACTCACACAGAGACCCATAGACTCACACAGAGACCCATAGACTCACACAGAGACCCATAGACTCACACAGAGACCCATAGACTCACACAGAGACCCATAGACTCACACAGAGACCCATAGACTCACAGAAATCCATAGACTCACACAAAGACCCATAGACTCACACAGAGACCCATAACTCACATAGAGACCCATATATTCATATTTAAACCTATATACTTACACAGAGAGCTATAGACTCACACAGAGGTAAGTGAGCAGGGGGCAGGGCGGATGTGGGAACTTAGGGGAGGTGAAGTGGGGGAACAGAAGACATGGGGAGGTAAGGAGAGGTGAGCGGAGACACGGAGAGGTGTGATAAGGTGAGGGGCACTGGAGGCTTGAGACTCAGCGTAGTAGCAGTAATGGTAACGATGGTGACAGTGACGTTAATCTCGGAGGCGTCACCCAGTAGAGCACGTCGGTCCAGCCCTCCATGGTGATGCACTGGAACACGGTGAGCATCGCGAAGCCGAAATTGTCGAAGTTGGTGATGCCCTCGTTGGGGCCGGCCCATCCCGAGCGGCAGCTCGTGCCGTTGTCGTGGCACTGCCGCCCGTGGCCCAGGTACGCGCACGGGGCTGGCTCGTCCTCCGCGACCATCTCTGTACGGGGGGGGGGGGGGGGGGGGGGGCGGGGGGGGGGGATGGGAGAAGGAGGGACATGGGTGGTACATACGGACAGGTCACCCCCATTTTTTATCCATTTATTTTATGTTCTACAAAATAATGCTGGTGAACAGAGTGTGGAACAACGTGGACATCCAGAATAAAGACTTAATTTGAGACCCAAACATCACACCTCCTGGTTACCCCACATGGATCCCCTCGACTACTCCACATAAACCTCCTCGACTACTCCACATGAACCCCCTTGGCTGTTCACCCCTCCAAATCCGCAAGCACCTATTAAGGCTGGCACAGAGCACGACGGGGTGGTGTGGCTAGGATGGCGCCCAGCCGCCTTTGGCTCCCCAATGCTGGTGCTTACACACAGCACGAAGTCCTAATGCAAAGGCTGAGTCCACATAACGAAGCTCTAGGACCAGTTCAGATATTCGTCATTAATGTCAGCTGTGAGCAGAAAATATAAATTGGGCCTCCGGGTTCACACTTGGTGGTGCAGCGGACTAATCGCTGTGCCACCACTTCCCATACACACAAACAAAGACAAAGATCCCCCCTATAGCCTTAACATACTTTTGGGAGAAGTGCTGTTAGTGTGCACCTACGACAACCGGCACGGCACACGAGGGGGTGGGTGGCCAGCACCACGCCTGACAGCATTTGTCTCCCTCGTGGTGATGTTTACACATTACCTCCGATTAGCACGGTTGGCTACGTACGGTGTGTAAGAAGGCCAACATCCACACATACATTACACTAGGTACTCATTTGAGGCTGAGTTGATCTAGGGGAGGCCCAGGACCGATTCAGATAATCGTCACTGGTGTTGGAGGCAATGAGCGGAAATCGAACTCAGGTCGCTGGGTTTGTAGCGTAGCGCACTAATGAACCACTACACTATCGCTCCCCATGTACACGCACCCACACACAGCCACAGACCCACACACACACCCGAGTAGTTGAGGAAGCAGGTCTTGTGCATTCTGCCCATGAAAAGCTCGAGGCCGATGATGGCGTAGATGATGATGACGAAGAGAACGAGGAGGGCGATGTGCAGCAGAGGCACCATGGCCTTGATGATGGAGTTGAGGACGACCTGAAGACCTGGGCAGAGAGACACGAGTTCACACGGCTCCACCACCACCATTTGTGGCTCCACCAACTCCACCATATATGGCTCCGCCACCACCGAACACGGCTCCACCACCACACATGACTCAACGAACACCACCATACACCGCTCCACCACCACTCCCAAACATGGCTCTACCAATACCAATATACCAAGATCCGCCCTTCGCCACTAAGTGACAGTGACGTCACCACGATGCCTGTGCCAGGCCAGGTGCACTTTGAGGCCACGTGTAGTGTCGAAGGCTCATTGACAGAAGGTCACAGGATAGACTCAGGTGCCATGGGTTGATGGACAGATATGACTGGCAGATGCACCAACCGTGCTCACTGCTGTGCCACCTTACTGTGTATTAGCCGCCCGGTGCTCCGCTCGTTGTTATGAGGGTAGCTCCTCTGCTCTCCGTTGTTGTTAGAGGGCGACTGCCTCCAACTGCCCAGTAGCGTCCTTCATGGGCCTCCTCCAGAGAGGCTGTTCTTGACACCGCTGGTATCAGTCTTCAGCAAGTCCACTCAGCTCAGTTTAACACATAGGCAGTTTAACACTCAGCTCCACATCCTAACGTACTGCATCAGTCCATCTCTTCTCCAACCCATGTCGTACCCGTTTAGCCCCTTCTATCCGGCCAAACAGAAGCTGCTTGGGCATGGAGTGGCTGGTCATTTGGGCTACATGACCCAGTCAACGCAGCCTTGCCTGCTGGAGGAGCTCATTTGTGAGCTTCTCATACGATCCAGCCTGGTTAAACCCGGGATGGATCGGAGGCAGCCCTGCCTGAATGTTTCTAACTGGCACAGATGTTCCATTAGAGGGGTCCACGTTTCATAGGCATAGAGAAGGGAGGGCAGGACTGGCCGAGAAGATCTGAAGCTTTGCGTGGAGCAAGAGTACAGGTTGCTTCCACGCAGTGTTATGCAGCCGATGAAAAAATAATGCCACCCGCTCCACCACCACCACCACACACGGCTCCACCACCACCACCACCACCACACACGGCTCCACCACCACCACCACCACACACGGCTCCACCACCACCACCACCACCACCACACACGGCTCCACCACCACCACCACGCGGCTCTCGGGACTCACTGGGCACCCCAGACACGAGTCGCAGAGGCCTCAGCACGCGGAACGCCCTCAGGGCCTTGACGTCGAAGCCGCCCCCCTTGCTCGCCATCACGGCCCCCCCTCCGCCATCGTTCACCTTGGTCGTGTGCTCCAGCACCACGGAGAAGAGCCTGGGGACACGGGGGTTGGTGGATCACGCAGGGATAAGCCAGAACAATGTATCCACTCTACTGCCACCTTTTCCACTGCACAGTCAGCCTCAGCCTATCTCATCTGTGCGCTACACTGTAATACAATCCAGCACTTGTTTTTTGTAAACATTTTGCTATGAAGGATTTAAAAGTTATTTGTAGGAGAGTACTTTTGTTACATTTTCTGATTATTTTATACGAATTGCTTCTATTCAGGTGTTTTGCCCCGAGTGTGATTTCTATTTTCTTTACTTGATGTTATTGATTTGATGATTTTGCTGGCCCAGGTCGGACTACTCTTGAAAACGAGAATCTCCCGGTCTCTTGCGTTCTCTAGGTTCAACGAAGCAAACTTCCAACACAGGCGGCTGCGTCATGCCCCCTGCATTCTCCCAATCCCCAGCGCCGCCTCTGCCCTGCCGTGACACCGAGTTGGATCGTGTTGGGTGAGCCGCGTTGTATGAAGGGTTAAGTGTTGGGTGAGCCGCGTTGTATCAAGGTGAACGCCTTTATTGTTGAGCAGCGAGGAACGGCGGAGGAGGGCGATGTTGAAACACACGTAGGAGGCAAGGGTTGGCAGATCACTCAGAGATTTGTGAAACTCCAAAACAACACCGGACTGAATACAAGCGAGGGGGTTGCGCAGTGCCCATATGTGCAGACGTTTGAGTGTTATTATCGACAATGCGTGCTGAGTTTTCCCTCCAACACGAAGCCAAACTCTCGTTAAAACTTTAAAGAGGCTTTGGCCAAACATCGGAATGTATCAAGACCTCACGCTCCCCCTGCAAGAGGCTCTCCAAGAAATCCAACACAATCGCCACACGTGTCATTGTAGAGAAAATAACAACACAAATATTAAGACAATTCGGTGCCTCCACATATTTATCCCTCTACATACAAAATGTATGTATTTTTACAATCCCATCAGCCGCACGGCCTTATGGGAGTGCGTAACTTCAGCTGTATTAATTCCAGCGAGCGTGACTCTGCTGATGCGACACGGAATGTGCAAAGCAGTTTTAGGTTTGCATGTTTTGAACCCATGCTGTTGAAATTAAGCACTGCCAACAGGCCACGTGACCGATGGGACACGTGGCCGGTCCATCGCGTCCCTCGCCGTGGGCCCTCGCAGACTCCCGAGGAGCCGTCACGGTTCCCGAGCCGGTGCCCCTGGGAGGGGCCACTCGTGCTGTCGCGGCAACGATTGTCCGCGTGACATCGCTCATGCGCCGTGACGGCCTGACGCCCCACAGTCCCTCTGAGCCCTCTAGAGTCCTCGTTTCGTCTTTTATGGAGGGAAGAGGTGGGATGGGGAGGAGGGAAGAGGAGGGGAGAAGGAGGAGGGGGAAGGACGAGGGGGAGGAGGTCATGATGAGGATGAGAAGGAAGGAGGGGGAGCGTGAGAAAGAGGAGGGAGCGATGGTGAGAGAGGGGACAGGGGCTCCATTCTTTTTCTAGAGACATCTCTCGTATCCTATTGGGTGCATCGATTCTGTGTGCGTTAAATGATCCGCACGTCACATTAATTGCCCAGGCAGCTGTGACCCCGCATCTGAAACCCATCTTCCCCTCTGCTCCCTGCTCCCCCGCCGCTGGCTGGGGGAGGTGTTGACAGTGGGATGTTTAGCTTCTTGCAGGAGAGACAAAGGTGGTCGAGACATGAATCGACTCAATATCGTGTCAGTGGAACGCAATTTTTGTCATTCTAAAACGTGTGTGTGGATTTACATTCTTAGGCTTTTTCAGTAAAGTCACGTAGGTAAAAAATGTAAATTAATAAAAGTAAAATAAAAAATAAAATAAAAATCACGACGTTTCGGAGGCAACACAAACTTCCGTCTTCAGGTGGAACCGTCACAGCACGATTGCTGTATCAAGTAAGATAAATTCCAAGAAAACAGTCCTTGTATATATACTTGTTGAGGGTGGGAGGAGCCAAGGTAGGCCCTGGATATTATTATTGTGAGGTTCGGTGCGGCTGAAGCACGCTGTTAGGAATGAACCTTTGTTGTGTAGACTGGTTGGACTCGGAGGTTCCAAGAGTTGTTAAGGTGCGGCTGATGTAAAGGTGCGTGTAAGTGTGTGTGGATGCTTGTGTGTGATGGGGTGCGGTAGTGCCGTGATTAGCACACTTCACAACCAACCCGGCGACCCTAGGTTAACTCATCCTTACATGAGTACCTGGGATGGTGTGTAAACGTGAGTACTGAGAAGACCAAGGCGGCCGGGCGTGGTGCTGGCCACTTCCTCCCTCATGTGACGTGCCAGCCTTCATAGGCGCTCACGAACAGCACTTACCCCAACAATCTTGTTAAATTCAGATGAAAGGTTTTTGTGTTAGATCGCGTAAGTATAAATGTGTCGTAATTCTCCATCGGGCGATTTGGCAAATCGCCCAATGATGCTGGATGTAATTACCAGCGAAACATGGTACTGAAATTGTACATTTTGTGGATTTACTTGCCAACACACCGGGCGGGTGAAGTAGTCACTGATTGGCGCGTTGTTTACGTGACAAACCTTACTGGCTGTGTCGGGTGGTGGAGGGTTACGACACGTTGACACGCGATCTATCCCAAAAACCTTTATTATGAATAATATAGGTCGTGAAAGCCGACGTGTTTAACGGTCTTGTTAAAGGCTAGGGGGACCTGTCTCTTTCTGTATTTGTGCGTGGGCTATTGTTAGCGCCTGTGTGTGAGTAGGATTCTGATAGTCGACTTCTCTCTTTGCTATGGTTGGTGTGAGAGAGGTGCTGATAAGATGGACCCTGCTCTACACAAAATCCATCACGGCATAATTGGTCCACTTTCGACTTTCACCGGTGTATAACACCATTAGCACAGCCTCTGCTGATGAGACATAGCAAGCCAAAACAAATCCAGAATTTCTCTTCTTAAAAATAAGCATGATGATAATAATAATCGATAAAGGCCTCACCGAGTCTCAAGACTATTTTTCAGGAGGGTCCTGCCATGTTTTCACAGGAGGCGACGCTGCTGCTGCTGCTGTGGGTGAACCCAATTGAGTAATTTGCAGGTGATTTTATATTTTGGGATGTTTGGTCAATGCTAGCTTCATTGAATGATTTTTCGCTGTGGGAGGAATCCGATGCAGAAAAGGGGGAAAACATACGAACATACAAACTCCGTATGTTGGGCACGCTGCTCATTACACGAGGCTGCTGCTGCTGCTGTTTGTGATAGTCGAGCAAATTCACAACAAAGTGAGCGGCACAGCAATTAGGGGTGAGCGGCGAGGCGTGACTCACAGAGAGACGCAGCCAAACCCACTCAATCGATGTCACCCTCGTCTCACCCCCACTGAACTCCCTTCCCTGCCTCGCCCTTCTCCTCTACCTCCCTCCCTCCTTCACTCACCCCCAATGACCTCCTCCCATCCCTATATACGAGCTGTTAGGGAGCGCCTATTAAGGCAGGCATGACACTGCAAGAATGAGGCATAACCCATTCACAGGCCCTATCAACTTATATCTTCACAACATAGGTAATCAATGCAGTGTGTATTTCAGGCCGAGTTAACCTAGCAGACGCCCACGTAATCTATGTAGAGGTGGCCCTGCATGACCCCAACTCAATTCATTCAAAGGCAGTGAGCTCTGGGCTCATGTGGACATCGAGGCAGGGCTCATCTCCTATCTCCAGCGCTGAGCCAGTGAGGGAAATTCCATATTCCTATGGCAGGGATGAGTCTAAATCCACGGAACAACCACTGTCGACTTCCCCACAAAGTGGAACCTCTTATTAACCCCTGTGGGGATGATGGGTTGAGTCAACCATCCCAACCAGGGTTTGAACTCGCAACCTTCCCATTGTGAGCCACTCGCTCCAACGCTGAGCAGTTAGCTGAATTAGTTGATCTCTACTTAGAGCCGTCCCTCGGGTACGGTGAGTCGAGGCGACCGCCCGGGGCCCTGCCCTTTGGGGGGCCCCACGCTTCGACGTCACAGTGGTGTCAAATGTCGTAGTTCTGGATTAGTTTGAAGGCGTCGGGTGGCCCACACGGTGGGATTTTCCCCAGGCCCTGCACCCCCTGATGGGCGGCCCTGCCTGAATCAATCCGAGCCCAGATGACTATTTGATGTCCCTCTCTGCGACACCAAATGGGTCATGGTTGAGGTGTCTTGCTCAGTGGGCAAATAACACAGAGGTGGAACAAACGCATGAGGGGAGTGTTTGCAGCAGAGGGCAGTGCGTGCACCGCTAGAGATAATTGTAAAATTAAATACACAAATGTGAATCACGCTGGAAAAGTCTCATTGAGCATCAATGAGTATTCTATATTCTAAAAATGTTTCGTCAATTCGCTCAGACAATATTCCTTTTGCAAGTGGGAGGAAGATGAAGCACCCATACAAAAATCCTCGCATGGATAGGAAGCATGCTTAGTCTCATAATATGCAGCAGCCTACTTGCTGTACTGCATTGTACATATTGTATGAGAGAAAGAGGTGCCTTGACAATGTTCATTATTATTATTGCTGCTGCACTTGTTTACCCAGGAGAGCCTCACTGAGTCTCAGGATTCCCTTTCAAGAGGGTCCTACCAAGTGTTTCAGTGGGGATGGAGATGCTGCTGCTGCTGCTTTATGATCCCAATTGAGATATTCTTGAGGTAATTTTTCAGCATTGGGATGTTTGACCAATAATTACAAAGTGTCTATTTTTTTGCTATGGGGTGAAACCGGAGGAAACCCATGCAGAAGAGGGAGGACACACAATGTCCATGCAGATATGCGCTCGAGTCCAGAATCGAACACAGGTGGTCTTGCTGTGTGGCACAATGGTTATCACTATACTACCCTGCCACCTACAGTATGGAAGAGGTAGACTGATAGTGAAATAAATGTCAAAGCGCTTTCATCTTCCCCACAAAGTGGTCCTCAGTGTATTAGCGCAGGAGGGATGATGGGGCGAGTCGACCCGCTACACAGGCGCACACGACAAGCGGCGCTATTCGCAACTCAGGGGTGGTGATGTCACCGTCGTGGCTGTGACAGGCTGAGTGCACTTTGAGGCCACGTGAAGTGTGGAAAGCTCGCTGACAAGAGGTCATGTGACAGAGCCAGGTGCCATGGGGTTGACTGACTCAAAAGACTGGCGGATGAATCACGTGGGTTCGCTACCCTGCCAACTTGCTGTATTTTATCCACCTGGTGCTCCGCTCATTGTTGTGAGCGTCGCTACTCTGCTGTCCATCGTTGTTGGAGGGTGACTGCCTCCAACTAAATTCAACTAAAAACTCAACTATGTTTGTATTTTACCAGGTAAGGCCCACTGAGCAATATATATCTCGTTTTCAGAAGCGACCTGACCATACATTGTAGCTCAACAACGTGGCTTATCATGCGGGAATGTATAGCAGGCAAATACTCTCAAGGCATGTTGATTCTAAATGTGGAGAGAAACCCCGGATGACCCAGATAAAAATCCAAGCGACCACGGGGAAAACATGCAAACAAATATACAGGCGTCAAGGTCACGATCCAACCCACGACCTCCTGTATACAAGGCGAGGTAGTTAACATATCGCCACCGTGCAGCCCAGGAGCCCAGAAGCAGACACACACAGCACACACAACAACAACAACAACCGCCATTCGCCACTAAGTGGCGGTGACGTCACCACGACGCTTGTGCCAGGCCAAGTGCACCTTGAGGCCACGTGAAGTGTCGAACGCTCGCTAGCAGGAGGTCACGGGGCAGACCCAGCAGGTGCCACGGGTCGACTGACCGACATGACCGAGATGACTGGCTGATGCACCACCTGTGCCCCCTACTGAACCAAATTGCTGTGTTTTAGCCACCCGGCGCTCCGCTCGTTATCGTGAGCGTCGCTCCTCCGCCCTCCGTTGTTGTTGGAGGGCGACTGCCTCCAACTGTCCAGTAGCGTCCTTCACGAGCCTCCTCCACTGAGGCCGATCTTGACACCGCTGGTACGAGTCATCTGCAAGTCCACTCAGCTCCACGTCCTCCTGTACCACATCACTCCATCTCTTCTCTAGCCCGTGCTGCGCCCGTTTAGCCTCCTCGATCCGGCCGAACAAAAGCTGTTTAGGCATGCGGTGGCTGGGCATGCGGGCTACATGACCCAGCCAACGCAGCCTTGCCTGCCGGAGGAGCTCACCGATGGGACTTTGACCAGATCTTTCAAGGATTTGTGAGCTCCTCACACAATCCAGCCTGGTTAAACCCAGGATGGATCGTAGGCAGGCCAGCCTAAATGTTTCCAACACACACACACAGACACACACACAGACACACAGACACACACAGAGACACACAGACACAAAACTCACACACACACAGACACACACACACAGGCACAGACATACACAGACATACACAGACACACAACTCACACACACAGACACACAACTCACACACAGACACACAACTCACACACACAGACACACACACAGACACACACACAGACACACAGACACACACCTCACACACAGACACACACAGACACGCGACTCGCACGCACAGACACTGAAGTGCTCCCACGCTTGCACTCTCGTGGACATTGAACATTCCTCGTTAGGCGTGTTGATAGAGACAACTCACTTGCTTATTAAATCAAAATAAGGGACGATATACGATAGTACAGCAAGTAGGATGCTGACAGTCTGCTTGGACGTTGAACGTGAGCCCCTCGTGCTCAAGGGTTATCTCAAGACTCAACATTTTACTAAACTACTGCTAAACTACTACTAAACTCTTACTGAACTAAACTACTAAAAAACCTCCCTGGCGACAGATTTGTTGACGGGCAGTGAGTCTCGAATATCAGCAAGCTTTCGAGTGAAGAGAGATCATCGTGATATCCATATCGGGGTTGTTAAACAATCATCACTGAACCGGTCAACATGTTTTAATGGTTACCGGCTACAGACTTACAGAACAAGCAACCGCTTTCCATGGAATGTGAGTATGGAACTCAAGGATTGGCTCTCGCAAATGGACAAACCGCACGGCGGGTTAAGTCACCGCGTGACACAGTTTCTCCGTTTCACAGTTAAACGGCAAAGGTGCAGCCCTGCAACTGCTTACTCGCAGCCACTGCTGGCAGAAGGGGCTCCACCCTAATCCATAGCAGTCCAGAATTTACAATCAGTTTTGTTTTCATTCTAATGTATGCAAAGGCCAAAGTAAATATGCTAAAGTTCACATCGATTTTCATCATCGTTGTCAAATGTCAAGTTAAAAATATAACGTGTAAATTAAACTGCCAGGAGCGGGGTTTGTGGAGCGTTTTTGCCAATCACACCAGGCAACCCATCCCCTGCTGGCAAGCTTCAGAGAGGTCCACACCCCAGTCCAGGGCTTGCTGCATTATAAACAAATGCTTCTGGACAAACATCAGTTCAGAAGGATGATAATTTGATGGACGAAATCATCAGCATCATCAGCCATCATCAATCCACTGCTGGATCAAGGCCTCCTCAAGCTACCGCCACCTTCCATGATTCAGCAATGCAACAGTCCACCCAGCCCTTGCACACGCACCGATCTCATCGCTCCATCTCCTGGGTGCACGTCCCCTTGGACACGTTCCAATCCTTAGCTGCCACTCCATTATTATTCTTGACCATCGTCCATCAGTCCATTGAGCCACATGTCCTGTGCAAGCCCTCTCATTTAGCCTGAAAGGTCAGGATGATGCTTCTCACCCGCGAGCTAGCGTCCGCTACTGCACGTCTCCATCTTGCTGCCTCTCAGTGTAATCCCAGCATGCAACTCTTCGTGCATCATTGCGCACTTCTCAGTTTCTGTTCCGTGGTTGTTCATAACCTCGACGTTTCTGAACCACGTGTCACCGCAGGTAGCACGCACTGATTTAAAACTTTATTTTCTGGGCCACAGTGCTGGGTGGTGGATTTTCATGATGAAGTTCAATTTTAAAAACACAATATAACCTGCCCTGGTCCACCTCTTCATTTGAAATAAACCCGAGATCCTTGTCTGTTTACTTGTATTTGATCATTTTCTTAATTTACCCAAAGTTGTATCACATTCATCAACATTTTGTGATGCCTTTCTTATTTACTACACTGTTAGGGTATATGTATATATGTTTAACTTATTTTGCATCGTATGTAGCCAACCATGCTAATCGGAGGTGCGAGATAAGTGCTGTTAGTGAGCACCTGCAAAGGTGTAGTCAGCACGACACCTGGCAGTCTTTGTCTCCCAAAAGCTGATGTTTACACAACCCCATCAGGGACTCATTTAATGCTGAATTACCCTTCGGGAGCCCCAAGACAAGTTCTGGTAACACTTGCTGCCACTGATGTTGGCCATGAGTGGGAATCGAACTCGGGTCGTTGGATTCATAGCACAGTGCGCTAACAACTGCACCACCGTTCCCCACAGATGATCTCCCACATGCACACGTTCACGCACATATACACTCTCAGACATAGATCATGCTCTCTGTACTTGTTATTAATTATGTACATTGAATTAATTAGAATATTTACACCCCGCATATATTATATGACGACACCTTCACAAAGATCAAGTGCGTATTCAAATTTCTATTCATGCAATGAAGGAAGTGAAACCCAGAATTCCCACTTCCTGGCCAAACTGCCACAGGGAAACAATCTTGGAACGAATGCTCTGTGAAAAATCGTTTAGCGCCCCGGCCATGAGCAAAGAACGCTGCCTCCACCGGAGAGAATTACTCTGACAGCAGAGAAATGCAGGGCCTTGCTTGCATCCTCATTGGCACCGCCTTCTCCCTCCATATCTCCTCCCCTCTCTCCTCCTGCGCGCTCTCGTCCACAAGTTTCAAGCTTGTTTTAATGGACCTAGTGATCATTTAAGGGATCAGGAAGAGACTAATTTGCATGGGTGGGAGGCCTGGATCATCCAAATAACATAATAACAAAAAAACAAGTATGGCAATGAAGCAAAGACAAAATTAAGGCAAAAACAACCGCAACATAGAATAAATGACACATCGTACTGGGTACTCACTCGAGGCTGAGTCGACCTAGGGGAGGCCCAATACCTTTTTAGATAAATGTCACACACTCACTCACACTCTGCAGAACAGGGAGAGAATGTAGAAAGTCCACGCAGAAAGATGTCCGAGTCAGGAAGTGAACCCAAGCACTTCTTGCTGTCAGGCACGAGTGTTACCACTGCATCACCAAGCCAACCCTTCATCGAGTTAGGGTCCGAGTCCAGTGTGTGGGTCAGCCCCCACTCACCCCACCACCACGATGACAAAGTCCAGGAGGTTCCACCCGTTGCGCAGGTAGGCGTTTGGATGAACGAGGAGGCCGTAGGCCATGATCTTGAGGAAGGCCTCCACCGTGAAGATCACCAGGAACACGTACTCGACCTTCTCCTGAAAGAGACGGAGCGGCGAACGAAAGGTGAGGTTCAGGTGCCGCGATCGCGTGATGCACCGATCGAGTGGCCGAATCGCAGCGCAGGTCTCACCACACCCAGCGGGCAAAGAGAAACAATATCCGTGGGCACGAGCTTTGCACGCTCCATGTACAACGCAAAAAGGGTTCACGCGAACATCCACAGGTCGGTTGATAGTTCGAGTTGGGGTAGGGCTAGTGTTAGACTCTGGTTAACTCATACTCTTTGGTTCTTTTGGTAAAGTCACGTAGGTGAAAATAATAATAAAAAAATAATCACGACGTTTCGGGCACAACACAAGCGTCCTTCATCAGGTGGGGACCAGCACAGCAAGAACAGTCGCTGTGGTGGTCCCCACCTGATGAAGGACGCTTGGTGTTGCGCCCAAAACGTCCTGATTATTTTGTTATTATTATTTTATTATTATTTTCACCTACGTGACTTTACCGAAAGAACCAAAGGGTATGGATCCTTGCAGTCACGAAAACTTCAAATCTAGAATCTGGTTAACTCATTTGGTGGAGCCAGGGGAAAGGTTGAATATTTTGGGTAGTATTGTTGGGGTAGGGCTCGTGTCTGGTGGCTAGTGTGGTTATTGGCAGGGCAAGTGTCTGGGTGGCTAGTGTGGTTATTGGTAGGGCAAGTGTCTGGGTGGCTAGTGTGGTTATTGGTAAGGCAAGTGTCTGGGTGGTTAGTGTGGTTATTGGCAGGGCAAGTGTCTGGGTGGCTAGTGTGGTTATTGGCAGGGCAAGTGTCTGGTGGCTAGTGTGGTTATTGGTAAGGCAAGTGTCTGGGTGGCTAGTGTGGTTATTGGTAGGGCAAGTGTCTGGGTGGCTAGTGTGGTTATTGGCAGGGCAAGTGTCTGGGTGGCTAGTGTGGTTATTGGTAGGGCAAGTGTCTGGGTGGCTAGTGTGGTTATTGGTAGGGCAAGTGTCTGGGTGGCTAGTGTGGTTATTGGCAGGGCAAGTGTCTGGGTGGCTAGTGTGGTTATTGGTAGGGCAAGTGTCTGGGTGGCTAGTGTGGTTATTGGTAGGGCAAGTGTCTGGGTGGCTAGTGTGGTTATTGGCAGGGCAAGTGTCTGGGTGGCTAGTGTGGTTATTGGTAGGGCAAGTGTCTGGGTGGCTAGTGTAGTTATTGGCAGGGAAAGTGTCTGGGTGGTTAGTGTGGTTATTGGCAGGGCAAGTGTCTGGGTGGCTAGTGTGGTTATTGGTAGGGCAAGTGTCTGGGTGGTTAGTGTGGTTATTGGTAGGGCAAGTGTCTGGGTGGCTAGTGTGGTTATTGTTAGGAAAGTGTCTGGGTGGCTAGTGTGGTTATTGGTAGGGCAAGTGTCTGGGTGGCTAGTGTGGTTATTGGCAGGGCAAGTGTCTGAGTGGCTAGTGTGGTTATTGTTAGGAAAGTGTCTGGGTGGCTAGTGTGGTTATTGGTATGACTGAAATCACACAAAATAAACAAGCAAATGATAACGCCTCCTTCCAATATCTGTCCCTCCACGTAAAAATATACAATTTTTACATATCCCACCAGACACACGACCTTCTCGGGGTGCATCTCATTAGTAGCATTGGTTCAATACAAGTTAATCTCTGGACCCAGACAGAGAAGAGAGAAAGGGCGCAGACACAGAATATTAGGCATAAAATACTTCCGCACATAAACTAAACAAAAAAATCAGTAAAGTTGCTTTAAAAACAGACCGAAGAACGATAAACTCACAATCGGAAGGATGTGAGTTCAAGTCCTGGTTGGAGATTGCCTCGGCCCATCATCTCTATGGGTTCGATAAAATGGTACCGGTCTGTGGGGAAACCAACAGTGATTGTCCATTGTTCTGTGGACAATCACTGCAATTGTGAAGACTTCCCCAGGTCCATGGCTGTAAGCAGGGAGATGTGTGCCATGTCAATGCTCATTTGAGCAGGAAATCTTTTTTTTTAAACTTAACCTCATAAATAATATATACCACAAAAAGCACATTTTTAAACGAGACCTTTCACCGAAGTAAACATTGTACATTGCTTGCGGTTTGTCGCGCACGTCGCGCACACATTTCGAGGTACCTGCTCTTTGGGCATTTGCTCAATTAGCCAAATATCGGTTGCGAAAACCCCTGCCCTGTCTCCTCACCGCCCCCGGGCGTCTATCTTTAGCTCGTGGCGCTGGATTTGCAGCGAGCAGCGCCGCGCGATGAATACCAAGGCATCGACGCGGGCTGCAACGAAGAACAGCGAGCGTAGAGACGAGCCTTGAGCGCCGGGTGGAACGGCGACCCAGCGGCCACCGTTTGTCATAGAGGGTCACAGTTCACGGTTCATGGTTCACGGTTTGAACCCAGCAGGCTGCTGGGTGCGCCACTTACGCATCACGGTGGATAATAAACATCCCTGAGGTCATTAGAATTGAATGGCCACCGTGCGCTGGCGTCATGATCTACTTTATCAAATCTTAAAATGTATACAGTACTACATTTGGATTACACAGAGGAATATTGCGCCCTACAGAATGGTGCAAATGTCAAATATACAGCCGTGAGCCAGTGGCAGAATCTCCATGTTAATATGGTGGGGAAGATTTTATCCATTGAGCATCCACTGTTGATATCCCCTGCAAAATTGTACAAATGTTATTGACCGCTGAGAGATGAATTCGTCGCTCGATCTCCCACCAAGTCTCCTGGCTGGTTTCATTATGGATGATGATGATGGTGGTGGTGGTGGTGTTGATAATTGTGGATATTAAACCATTAATATCTCCCAAACTGAACTCATGCGTCGATACCAAGGATTGCCCCTTTGAGAATAAAAGTTATCTGAACACGCACACACGCTTGAGCCCTATGACCTCCGCGCGCATCGTTTACGGCGGAGCGTTTGTGAGGTGTGTGTTTTGTCGTGCAGGATGGTGGTTTAAATCGTAGTAACAATAAAGACAGCTGTCATATCCTCGAGACGCAGGTCCTGGGAGAATGAATTACTGCCAATGACGCCCACACCGACACGCACGCACGTGAACACTCACACGTACACGAGTAGGAGACAAAGAGCTCCCGTGTCGCCTGAACTGGCAGTCGTGTTAGCGAGCACATATCAAGGCCGGCATGGCACACGAGGGCTGGTGTGGCTAGGAGTTTGCCTGGCCACCTTTGTCTCCCCAGCGGCAGTTTGAACACATGTTCATCAAAGATTGAGTTGACCTGGGGGTGTTGAGAGAGGTGAGGGAGGCACTGGCCTATTCTGGTGGGGGGGGGGGGGGGGTCAAATATATGGGCACTGTTTGTAATTACCCAGTTGCTGAGCACAGTGACTCTTACAGCCACATCCTATGCCGACACTGCATCAGTGACTACTACACCCCCTCGTGACTACTACACCCCCCCTACGTGACTACTACACCCCACCACGTGACTACTACACCCCCCCCCCCCCCCGCGTGACTACTACACCCCCCCCCCGTGACTACCACATCCCCCCGTGACTACTACACCCCCACGTGACTACTACACACCCCCCCCCCGCGTGACTACCACACCCCCCCGTGACTACTACACCCCCCCCCCGTGACTACCACACCCCCCGTGACTACTACACCCCCACGTGACTACTACAACCCCCCCCCCCCCCCCCGCGTGACTACTACACCCCCCCCGTGACTACTACATCCCCCCGTGACTACTACACCCCACCACGTGACTACTACAACCCCCCCCCCCCGCGTGACTACTACACCCCCCCCCCCCGTGACTACTACATCCCCCGTGACTACTACACCCCCCCGTGACTACTACACCCCCACGTGACTACTACACCCCCCCCCCCCGTGACTACTACACCCCCACGTGACTACTACACCCACCCCGTGACCACTACAACCCCCCACGTGACTACAACACCTCCCCCGTGACTACTATACCCCTCCCCCGTGACTACTACACCCACGTGACTACTACACCCCCCGTGACCACTACACCCACGTGACTACTACCCCCCCCCCCCCCCGTGACTACTAACCCCCTCCTGTGTTCGATGTGCGTGTCTCTGTCCGGGTCTCACGGCACGAGTATAAATCCGCGTGTCCCCGGGGAAACAAAAGACCGTAGGGGTCATGGGAACAACCAGGCCACTGAGACACATACACGCACACACACGTACACACACGTACACACGTACAGACACATTTACCAACGCACACGTGTACACACGTACACAAACACTCCAGAAATACATAAACATGTGTACAAAACAACCGCCATTTGCCACGAGGTTCCAGGCTAGGTGCACCTTGAGGCCAAGTGAAGTGTCAAAAGGCTCACTGACAAGAGGTCACGGAAGAGACCCGGGTGCCATGGATTGACTGCCTGAGTTGACCTGTGCTCCACCCATGCTGCAGTTTAGCTGCTCAGCGATCAACTTGTTGTGAGCATCGCTCCTCCGCCCTCCACTGTTGTTGGAGGGCGACTGCCTCCAAATGCCCAGTAGCAGGGTCCTTCACGAACCTCCTCCTCCACAGAGGCCAGTCTTGACACCGCGGTATCAGTCATTGGCAAGTCCGGCTTCATATTCTTCTGTACCACATGAGTCCATCTTTTCTCTAGCCCATGCCGTACCTCTTTAGCCCCCTCTACACCTCTGGGCGTCCTCTGGTCTAACACCGTTTGAGATGAGGCTCAAAAGAAAGCTGTCTCTAGTGTGGACCAATCAGTTTCAAGGACAATGCTGATATTATCAGAGTGTGTTTTTGTTTGCATTCTGACAACAAGCATTGTGGTTAATGAGACATAATTCCTTGTAAAAGGTTCCCGTTTGGTGTTTTAACATCTGAACACCGAGGATTGAAGCTTCTTCCGTGACTGCAGAAATTTCTGTACTCATTGTTTTTCTCGGTAAAGTCACGTGTGTAGAAATAAAATAGAATTTTAACTAAATTAAATTAACAATTACATTTTATTTCTACATTCGTGACTTTACCGAACAAACCAAAGAG